TAGAAAATTAGATTCCTATCTGCTTCCTATATAGAGATATGGAACACCGCGCCACTGTTGCAGGACCCTGTATATATTTGAATGATGCAACTAATTTTCCTTTATTTTCAGTATTTTAATATTAATGTAAGTCACAAAAAGGAAAGCTTTATAACTTCTATTTAATTATCTCTCAGTAGAGCCTAGATGATGATAGCACGACCAGCTGTCGAAAGCGCTCGCAAATAAGATAGAGAATATTGATACGTGCTCGTCCATTTACCCAAAAACATTTTGTTTTCATTTTGCAACTTTTCAAAATAAATGGCGAATAGAAGATGGAATTTTCAAAATTCATCTTGATTTGACCACAATATTTACAGTTCGGTAAGGTAAAATTATGAACCGATCTATTGATGTAAAGAAATATCGTACCGAAAGACACCAAAATAAAAACTAAAATTTTCAATCTACTATCAATTTGGCAACAACGTAAAATATTGTAATACTGCCAATACACCGTACAATTGTCATTTAGGGTGTAAAATCAATTCATATGAAATAGTATGTAATTTATTGATAGAAAGCATTTTTGGAAAAATTAATTTTTTATGGAAAAAATAGATGCGGCGTTTTGATAAATGTCTGCAGCAAGCAATCGTGAAAATAAGGTGTTGTTGCAAATTTTTATTGACAAAAATGCATCTGGAAGTCAATGCCTGACCAAACTTCAATTTTAGATTATTGATCAGCGTAGATTAACTACCTAACAATAAAAAAGTTACAAATTTATCGCCAGATCCTCTGTCTGAAAATTATCAACAGAACAGTGAACTAGGAATACGAGTATATCCTCAAATTCAAAGATTTCAAAGTAAAACCATAAATGAGATACGTTTCGAGGCAAGTTTAAAGTAGGCAGGAATCGTGGTCCAACACTTTTAAAATTTCAACCAAATAATCATCATATTTTTCTGTTGGTCTTAAGTAAGATTTCCATTCACTCTACAATAAAACAGAAATCTTCATACCTGTATGTTTCCTAAGAAAATTAGCTGGATCTGGGGGATCTTCTTCTGGCCGTCCCATAGTGGCATGCAGTTTTACGCATTTTTTATAGTCCTCATGAATTTCCTTAGTTTTGTCTCTGAATTTTGACTTGTATGGTGGCGATTTCTGTTTGAAATCTGCTTGTGATTTCGTAATATTATATATATTTTCATCATGTTTGGTTATTAAAATTACTGACATTTTAGTCACGAGAAAAACAAAAAATAGAACTGTCTGATGTGGCAGTAATGAGACGACCAAACAAAATCGTAATACATTTCATTGATCAAACTTGTTGCCATGTTGTGTACCGAGTATCCATCGATTTGATACAGATTTCCATGAGGTTTGTCAGTGGTACTCGGATGAAAATAGGAGAAATGTGTTCAAAAATTCTTCCTGATATTTCTTGGATAATTTAAACCTGATTGAAAAAAATACAATGCCTCTCAATGAAGGTTTTGTTAAGGAAAATATGATAAGTTTTTCGATTTTTGTAAAAACTTCAGGAAACCGTTAAAATCGTCCAAGATATTGAAAAAATATCTAAGAAACAAATGGGATAATACGTTTCAAATCATTATAGTGGTCAGAAACAAACTATTACAAAAGTGAGAAGTACTAAGGACATGATTTCGTAATGCAGTGAACGTCACATTTCTAAAATGCGAAAATGCTTAAACTAACAAGGATGTTAGTAGTATATTGAATGGGTAACCTAAAAAAAAAGATATTTATTTTGTTTGAACTAACAACAAATAAATAATAATTGCACAACGAAACTTTCCCTCAGTTATCTCAATGGTGCGATTTTGTTCCATCCTTTTCATAAAAGAGGAAGTATGCTTCTCCACTCACAAGTGATTTTGGTGAAATTGGTGACACATGTGAATCGTATTTGTGCCACGCGCCAGTATATGGGTATCTGCAGTATACTGTATAATGCCCTCTTGTAAGTAGTCCCACTATGATTTAAAAGTGCATATAGATTATAACAAAAAGTAACCACATTTTCTGCTGCAAAATTGTCCATATCCAATCCTTCTAGACGAAATTCGATGACATCATTCAATTTGCCTCTAAATCTTTCAGTTGGAGAGAATCTTTTTAAATGAATTACTAAAATATGGGAAAACTTCTGGATTGATAGGGACTTTGTATATTTTCTCCGTTCCATGCATTTCGAACACGTCGGTTTTTCATTTCCATCCAAAGTTTCTTCCCTTGTAAACGAATCCAAGCATTGCCACAAACTCAACCGGTCGGTTCTTTGTGGTATGGAGAGAGACAAATCCCAGAAAGGTGTGCATTTCATCGTGGATTTCAATTGACCAACGAAATCATCTAAAATCTTAGAGTTATGCATCTTCAAATATATGAGCCATGACTCTTATGCTTATCTCCAGTCGCTCAATTTTTCGTCAATCTTCGTTAAGATTGCAGCTTTTTTTTTATGTATTAGTTAGATTTGGTGCCTATATCACTTGCAAAGATTATGAAAAGCAGCTTTTGCACGACGCGTCGACGACGAGTACAACTTCACGTGCATTTCTCAATATACAGGGTGGGGCACCGAAAACGAAACGGATCGAATATCTTCAAAACACATGTTTTCTGAAAAAAATGTAAAAACATGTCGATTTGTAATCCAAGGGGAACATCTTTCTATCATAACCTCAACTGTCATACCTCTCCCCCCACCCCTCCATCACTATCACCCAAACAATTTGAATAGAGAAAGTAGTAAGTGTGACAAATCATCAAAAAGATAATTTCATAAGGAATTCGGCCATGTCAATTTTCGCTACCTTACTTTCTATTTTGGCGCCCTTTCGTGGGGATAAGAACTGTTGCGTATTCCAAATTATGATACTTCATTCGCAAGCTAATTTGACATAAATTCGGTGACAATGCACTATAAAATTTTTCTAAGGGAAAAAACAATATGGCGGTTCCACAATGGCGGACAAGATTTGCAAATAAGGTCCGATTTGATTCAAAATTGATAAGTGGTACTTTTCATGGTCGAAAATTATGATTTGTTCGTCAATGCAAATAAACAATATGGTGGCTTCAAGATGGCGGACGAGATTTGTAATTATGATTCCATTCGAGAAAACGAGATGGCGGACGATATTTGTCATTGTGGTTCGATTCGATTCAAAATTGGCATATGGTTCATGCAATGTTAATTTTTTCAATTCTTGTTTTTTTCTCGTGAATTGTTCTCATTACCTATTACCTTTCAAATACAATATCATAAGTTGGAATACGAAACAGTTGTTTTTCATGCAATAAGGCGCCAAAATGAAAAATTAGGTAGCGAACACTGACATGTCTGTATTCCTTATGGAATTATCTTTTCAATGATTAGATCCCGCCGCCCATGCCATACAAAGAAACTGCTGACGTTCGGTAACTTTTTAGTTTTTATGCCATTCGTATTGACTTATATACTATATAAAATTTTGTGATTGCCTAATTATATTGGTGTGTTTTAAAGCTTGCACCTTATTGATAACAGTCATATATTCTTTGATTTCAGTGTTTCCAGAAGCGATAGCTGCGAGCAAGAAGGTAATCCGGAGACTACGATTCAGCCTCACTGTCATATAACAATGAAATGTACGAAAGAGGTGAGTCACAGATAAAATCAAGTGATCTGTTATTCTGTATTTGCTAGTTCATTCTTGACATTCAGTGGTACATATTTTCATTGATTATTTGGTAGTTTATTGGTCAATGGTACGCTCAGTTAAACTTAACTTCATTTAATAACTCACATTAGATGGACGAAGCAAATTTTTCACGAGATGCTATTATAAACTTTCACAATAACCATTTTTGGGCCGACAAAAATCCCCACGGTTTTAGAGAAAGTAATTTTCAGCAAGAATTTTCGCTGAACGCTTGGTTAGGAATGATTGGGACTACCTAAATGGCCCACTTTTTCTGCCAGCAAGATTAACAGGTGAATCCTACACGGACTTTTTGCGAGATTATTTACCCATTTTGTTAGATGTGGTGGTTCATGTAAGAGGCAACATGTCTTCGATTTTCCAAATTGGATAATGTGCATTCATAAGTCGCTCGATAATGCTGACTTTGTAATTGACAGACAAACGTAGGCCTCCATCTGCCTTTCGTATTACAACTAATGGTGATCCCCAGTCGAATATCGTTATTTTCGTTATGATTCCTGCAGTTTCAGGTGCATCCAATTCTTTTTCAACCAACTGCCGTATGCGTAGGGAATTTCACGTTCACAATGAAAACAGCTGTACACCTTAACGTAACTCAAGAACAACATTGAAACCTGGAACACATCCAATTTTTTCTTCGAAACCATTTGGATATTTTGCGCTTGGTTCCTCTACACTCCACAGGTGGAATCTTTCAGAGGATACTGAAGTTGTTTATTGACTAGGTTGATTCAAATCTATTTCGAGGCGTTGGATTCAAACTCTACCAAGAATGGTAGCGTAAATATCTGGCACAATATAAACTTCTTCTTTTATTTTGATGTAACCATAAGAAACGTTAACTACAATCATTCCATCGGGTATGAAAACATCTCGAGTATATGAGGGGAATCCAAGTGTTGCTGGTTCAAGAGAAATATTCAGATTGAAATCTTGTAATTGTAGCCGTTGAAGAAAAGTATAAGCTGATCCCGAATCTACTTCGAATTTGATTGGTTTCCCTTCTATCTTCACGAGGGCGTAATAACGACTCGTATCGGTGTCAGAACCATTATGATTTTGATTAATATCAACAATATGTTGTACACCATATTGTCGCGTAATTTCATGTGAATAATCGCTTTGAATTTGATTAGTCGATTCAGATTTTTTCTTTTTTCACAACTAATGAAGTGATATAAGTCTTAGACGTGACCAGTCCTGTTGCATTAGGTACATTTGATTGAGGTTTGTTCAGTGTGGCAATCTTTTGTGATATGAATGGATTACCCACACCTAAGACAAATATTCTGCAGTCCTAGTGATTCGAGATTATATTTGCGACTGAATGACCTATTATACCTTAACTTTCTAGTTCTTGAAGGGATATTTGATACGATTTCTGTGCATTTTATGAACATATTGGTGTGAACTGTTGACTTCATTGATATCAACTGTTGAAAATGACGTTGAAATTATTTTCAGGACAATTTTACGAGCATCAATTTTCAAGATGCGAGCGCAATTGCTTTCGTAAAAATGTCTTTGAAAGTTTCGCTATTAGACTGAAGTAATTGTTCATGAATGCTATCATCGTATAATCCACGAATGAATTGAGCTGTCAGGAAGATTTCTGCAACTTATTTCTTGTACTCGCATATGAATTCACAATCACTTATAATACTCTTAAGCGTACTGACAAATTCTGGAATTGATTGTTGTCCATTTTGATCGATTGACAAAAAGTGATGTGCAACTAAAACGTTGTTCTTTGGTGCAAGATGTTCTTCTAATAACTTTTTCAAATAATCATATGTAAACCATCTATGATTTTGAAAAAAAAATTGGTTTAAGTTAATTCTCAAAGTGATAGTCGGTTACTTCACGACGTTTCGGTTGTTAGTATCCACAATCGCCGTAGGGAGATGACTGGACTATTTCTCCGAGAGATGACTATTTTAAGGTTGTTCGAGAGCTTTCTGGGCTATTTCTCCGAGAGATGACTATTTATAGGTCGTTCGAGCGCTTTCTCCTATCCCCTCTTCCCTCTCTCCGCTTCACCGGTTTAGCGGGACTTGTGATGCAGTGTTTGGAACCTTTGGTGTAGTATTGAATTTTACTGGAGAGGAAAATCAAAACTGAGTTTTGATCATCCTCTTCAAGATGATCACTTGGTGATCGGAACACGTGTCGAGGTGTTCAAATAACGGTTTGGTGTTGGGAAAACATTCCTGTTATATGGTTTAGCGGGAGTTGACCGTTTTCCGCTTGATTACAGGTTTCCATATGTTGCGCATCTTTACACTAGCTTGGCCGAATGAATTATTGGTCAACATATATGCAGCTTCTTTGAACTTCCTCTCTAACCAGTGTTATGTTGATGAGTCCAAGCATGCTCCGCTATTCCCGATTTGCTGCTTTCTCCCCGCTGTATCTCTGGTGTTTGGCAATGCGGAGTTTCAATTGCCTTTTAGTTTCGCCGATATAGGATTTCCACACACAGGGAATCGCAGTCCGCGTTTGGTGGCCTAATTTTCGTGAGCTTGCTACGGATGGTGTTACTGCTGGCTGGAGACATGTGCGTACCTGAGAGGGCTGAAATCATCCTGGAGGCTCGCTTGGACGGAAGTGCGAGCTCAAGATACACGATGCGAACATTGGACGAGGAATCGCACTGGGGAAGACCCTGTTGCGTATTGATAAAGTTGATAAAGTTGTGCCGGTCAGGGTCAACAACTTTCCCTTGACCTTGAAGATAGGAACAATGCTGGGGCACTGTTCGTCCATTTTCTCCCTCCAAGAACATACCACTAACTCACCGATCAAAATTGAGAGAGTTAGTCAAGAAGTACCAAGAAGTACCAGAAGTACGATATTGGAGAAGGGAAAGGCGGCAGAACGAATGTGGTTCAGCATAGAATCGACACTGGGAATGCCCGACCAATCCGGCAATCAGTTAGAAGACTCCCTCTTGCCAAGAAAGAAGAGGCAGATAAGATAGTCAGCGATATGGAAAAAGAAGGAGTCATCGAACCTTCCGACAGCCCCTGGTCTTCCCCAGTCGTATTGGTGAAGAAGGACGGCTCGACAAGGTTCTGCGTGGACTATCGCCAACTAAATAACGTGACGAAGAAAGGCAGCTACCCCCTTCCAATAATCGACGACACCCTAGACACGCTAGCCGGCTCCACGATTTTCTCGACTTTGAATTTGAAGAGTGGATATTGGCAAGTTGAATTGGCCCCAGAAGATCGAGAAAATACAGCTTTCACCATGGGCTCAGGATTGTAGCAGTTCATGGTTATGCCATTCGGGCTTTGTAATGATCCAGCGACCTTCAAGAGATTGATGGAGACGGTTCTCAAGGGGCTCTCATGGAAGACGTGTCTAGTGTATCTCGGCGACGCCGTGGTTCATCACCGAAGTTGCGGAACTCATGGGAAGGTCCGTACAAAATCATGAAGAAGATAAATGACCTCGTCTACCGAATCCATAAGACACCTCGAGGAAAGCCTAAGGTCGTCCATTTCAATAGATTGGCTCCTTATGCTGGAAATCACGACCAAATTCGCGCCCTCAGACCACCAGAGGATGAAATGACGTTCCAGAAGTTCATGTCTTTATCCTCGAACGGACAGAAGGTCGTACATGGGGTAACTCAAAAAAGAGCCATGAGACCTTTTCAAGATTCCAGTTGATTACGCACTAGCTCACTGCGTGGCAGAGGATCTCCAAATGTCCAAAGATATGGTATTCAACAAGAAATTCGGTCAGCTTCAAACAATACTAGAACAGAATCCAGAAGTCGGAGGAGTGCTACAGTTGAAGAAGGGTCAGAAACATTTTCTACTTGGTGACCAAAAAGCATTCTCGAGACGAACCGTCCAATGAAGATGTCTGGATGAGTCTTACCAGACTGAGGGACACGATGCTCGACCAGAATCTTGTGGACTTGGCAATACGGAAATTAGCCTCTGGGCTTGACAGGCTGGATTGGAGAATTGTGAGAAGCATGTTGGAAACTATATTCAGATCCAGCGGCATCAAGATTTTGGTGTGCGGTAACGATCTTTCACGACCGAGTATGAAGACTGTGGAGTGTTACTTCCATGGAACTTCACAGTGCAGATATGGGGAGTCCTGCAGGTATCGACACACGCCAAGGATGACATTACGGGGAGAAACGTTTTCAAGAAGGGGGCAATGTAACGAATCTGAAGCCGCCCCTGACCAGTATGCCGTTCCAATCATGTAACAAACACATGACATCACCCCGAAAGAATGCAGTCGGCAACCGCCGGTAAAACTCTAGTTGAGTATCGAACTGACTACAGATTTCTAGAAAGAACCGTTACATTATATAAGCCCGGTTTCCCGACCCAAGAGGGCAGTTCAGAAAGTGAATCGAGCGGCTAAACAAGAAATTCAAATAGTGGAAATAAATTAAGCGTTAGTTGCTTAGTGTTGTTAGTGTTTGTGATTAGTGTTTGTGATTAGTGAAATATTGTTGGAAATAAAATTGTTCAAAACGGTTAATTCTTTAATTTGTTACACTTGGATATCATATTAGTCTTGTTTTATTAATTTGTAGACTATTTATTTGAATTTTCAATGCAATGTAGCCTATGTTTATTACTTTTTTGACGAAAACTTATTTTTTGTTATATTATTTACCGTAAAATAAAAATTTAGCCAAAACAATCATCTAATGTCTCTTTCCAGATTGCTGGCTTCAACGAACTAGACGAGGCTGTTAAACGGCTAGACTTCCGAAGTGCAGTCCGAGACGTTCGTAGATTCAACTACATTTGTGCGTTACTCGAACTTTTAATAGGACAGCAAATGACAGCATTGTCTGGATGTGCACAGAAAGTTCTACTTGCTATGCTAGAGGAAGTTGCTAGATATGCGACTACTAGTCACCACAACCCTAGAGGTTTCCATCAATTACTCAATAATCTGAAGGCTTTGAGGGCAGCTGAGAGGTCGGCCTATTGGGGTGGTGAGTCATTTTGTCTTGCAAAATTACCTGACTGTGTAGCGCTACAAACTAAGGTATCTCAATTGTTAAATTTTTAATTAATTCCTATTCCAGGTCCGTTAGGTTCCCAACTTCTTTGGCACCAAAACACTTCAAAAATCGAAAAAATACTAAACATGGCCGCCCAAATGCAAATTCGTGAACCGAATCCAGACAGCTATCCCAAATTGTTGCAGCTGCCAGAAGAATGTATCAGAGAAATAATCTTAAGGCTGTCCGACCATAGAGACCTGACCGCTAGTGCAGAAACATGTGAACAAATGGCGTCCATTGTCGGCGAACAAAGAGTGTGGCGGGAACTGACTAAGTTTCATTTCACACCTCAGCAAATAGACATAGCAATGCCAAAGAGCAATGATGAGACTGACTGGAAGACTGTTTACCATACTTTGAAAAAGTAAGTATTATTCAAATTGAGTAAAGCTCGCGCAGTCGGGTTCCATTGTATTTATCGTTGTTGAGATAGGTAACCGTCGTTATATTGAGTGTGTACAGTGTAGGTACATGAAACCTAAATGTCCTTGTTCGTTTGCTTAGAGTGAATCTTTCGTCGTTGACACTTTTTCAGAAAGGCTGTTGTCATCTGGAAAGATGAGTTGTAAATGAGGCACGCATAAGGTGTTCATTGTATCTAAGGAAAAAAATTTAGGCAAATAATTAGAATTTTCAAATGAAGTTAGCCTTTTTTCATCATTACTTTCATTATTGAAGATTTGAATATATAATATTGTAACTCAAGATGATAAAGTAGTTCTCCTTAATTGTATATGTAGTTTATATTATACCGAGGAAGATTTGTTCAGCATATTTTAAAGTTCTGAATTCAGTCTCTTTGTATCTTCAATTCACTATGTATTTATCATAACTCGACAATGTTTTCTTCATAATTAATATATTCCACATTTCTAACTAATGTCTGCATCATTTTCTTTGAGCACTGACTATTCTATCTAATAATAATTACACCCGACAGTCATTTTTGCAAGTTTCTTTAAATCTGTTTAAAATATGTTTTCCATTAACCAGCTCCTACGAACGACAACCCTCAGACGTCGAAACTTGTGTGAGCTAAGGATTAACGAGGCCTTACCTTTTAACGTGTGATTCCCAACACGGGTTGGACGATAGCAAGTGAAAATCGATCGTTCAGACTAGGGCTTGATATAGAAAAATTAGAACGGAAATGATCAATTCCTAATCATACTACGACCTTTGGAGTATGGAGCGACTCCCACCTTTTTATGTGACTAGATAGACTAGAGAGATAATTATTTTCATAATTCATATGTTAATATAAAATAGCAGAATGGAAGTGTTTGTTTGATGGTGATTGACAATGTTTCGTGGTGTGTTTCATCAGTTCGGACTTCCATTGTCTAATATAATATAAATTGATTTGAAATTATTGCCTTTCTTAGACGTATTGGTGAAGAGGACCGACACCAAATGGGAAACATCTGTATATCGAAAACCCACTCACACAGGACAGTATCTGAACCACAAATCCAACCACCATCAATCGACTAAGAGAGGAATCATCAAGACTCTACTAGACCGTGCCTTCGGGCTCTGAAATACGAAGGAAGGTCTCGAAAGGGAACTATGACCTTCAACGGAATGGTTACTCCAGAGTGATGGTAGAACAGGCTTTAGCTAGAAGACAGCACGAGCTCCACAAGGAAGAGAAGCCGCCAAAACCAGTACTTGTACTTCCCTGCATCAGAGGATTATCGGAAAGGATACGAAGGATTGGGTCCAAGTATAACATCAGGACCTGTTTCAGATCTGGGAACACTATCCGTAGCAGCCTCACGAAAACCAGGCCACCAAACACGGACTGCGATTCCAAGAATTTCGTTTACCAGATACCCTGCGAGTGCGGAGAATCATACATCGATGAAACTAAGAGGCCATCGAAAGTTCGCATTGCTGATCACAAGAAACACACACAGCGGAATAGCAGAGCATGTTTGAACTCATCAACATAATATCAAGTGGGCTCAAGCTGAAATCATCTACACTGGTTTAGGAGGAAATTCAAAGAAGCCGCGTATATGTTGTCCAACAACACATTTAGTCAAGCTAGCGTAGAGATACGTAACATATGGAAACCTCTAATCAAGCAAAAAACGACAAACTCCCGCCAAACGTTCATCTCCCGCCAAAACCAATGAAGCGGTAAGAGGGGAGAGGGGATAGGTGAATGCACACAAATTGCCTATAAATAGTCGGATCTCGGAGGAATAAGCCCAGTTATCACCCGAAGACGATTGTGGATACTAACAATCGAAACGTCGTGACATAACTTGGTTTCGAATCTTTTAATTTTTTATTTTTCATTTTTTATTAATAATTTTTAATTTTCAGCTTTTATTAATATTTCAATTTTTATTTTTTTATGGTTGTTTGGTTTTATGTTATTTCTTTGTAATTTAAGTTTTTTTGTTCAATAAAATTGTTATTTTCGGTTAATCTTTTAATTATTTTTTCAGGAATTTCAAATCAATTTATATTATATTAGACAATGGAAGTCCGACCTGATGAAATACAGAATGAAAGTGATTAATGCTTCTCAACACGACTTATTTTAGACCGATAAATAGCACTGAATGCATATGTTGATGATTGTGATTCTTGCTGTTTCCTTCCTTCGGGTCTAGAGTCTTTATTACTTTAAACTAAAATGGAGTTTCTTCCGATGTGTCCAATTTCTAAACAACGAAAACATCTTAAATGCTGAAGCGATCGTTCTATCGTATGGTTTTCATTTGGAGGGCTGGTATCTGCTGCATTTTGTTGAATTTTCTGGAGGAGGTTTGGAATTTCAATTCCAAACCTCCTCTTTTCAGCGATATCATAGAAACTTCTCTATTTTATTTATTATAGAGATTAGGCAACATATTAAATATTGTGAACTTGTAACAAAAATTGAAATACGTACTACTTTCATTGTTAGGAATCACACGTTGAATGGTAAGACCTCGTTAGTCCTTAGATCGCATAAGTTTTGACTTTTGAGAGTTGTCGTTCATAGAGGGCGACAGCTGGTTAATGGAAAAACAGATTTAAATAGATTTTTTTCAACAGATTGATATAAATCAAAACATTGTTTTTTTTTCAGAACATATGGACTAAATGAAGACAGACAGTATGCAGAAATGCTCTCTTTATGTCGATATTGCCGATGTCTGTTTTGGAGATCTCTTGGCCATCCTTGTATCGCGGACCAATGCCCCGAATTTCGGGCCAGACTACAAGAAGCAGGAGGAATTACAGCTCCCAGTCCTGTCCCTCCATCAGCCTTTCTAAAATTTTTCTCCTTGTAGCTGCCTTTCTAAGTCATCTATTTGTTGTGCTTTTTGTGCATTGTGATATATATATATATATGATAGATCTATCAAATGTGAGATTTTGTGTGAAATAGGCTGCTATATATTTCTCATAGAAACTATATCTTAGATTATAACAAATTTATTAAAATTATTTTCACTTACTACCAAGTTGATTCATCTCCTGACTATATCTATCTTTAATAATTGAAAACTGTAACTAATACTCTCAAATTACTTTGAAATCCATATTTTTAATGACCTTAATACTGAAACATGTACAAGTCTACATGTTACTTTACACTGATAAAGTTCATAAATTTCTGTAGTTTATATTAGTTCGTGATATTGCTATTTATACAAACTTTCATTGATGGATATGTAAAAATATGTATTTTCAATTGCTTCAATTTCAGATGAAAGACTTACAGTTAAAATGGTCAGGGATTTTCATAACCATTATATGATGTTTGCACCAGTGTGTAAACACCATTCAATATAACAGTCGATGGGTAAAACGAACCGTCCCACATTAACTTGAACAGAGACGGTTTTGGTTTCGCGCTTACCTTCTGGAACATTCCAGAAACTCATTATGAAACATTGTAGACTGTGATACATCTAGATGCATAAATGAATATGATATTTTACATTTCCAAAGTAAATTAGAATATTTGAGAGTTGACCTACCATACATGAAGAAAGAAGTTTTAAAAGAAACTATTTTGTATGCTCCTCCACATATATTCGTTGGAAGTTTTTACCAATGTATTTAATTTTATCTTCTTTTTTTTTGAACTTTCACACTCTCAATATAATAATATAGAAGTAGAAAGTCAAAAGATGTCATTCCCAAAAAGTAATATCTCCTTGAAAAAATCCCCCTTTGCGAAAAAATAAATTTCCTATGGCTTGGATCACATTAGATAGTTGAATGAATGTTTTTTACAAACTTTCATCGTTACAAGACTAAAAGTGTGCCTTTAAATGAAATGAAGATGTAATATTAGTTTTGAGTGTTTCAATTCCACTATAAATATTTGGGGTACAAGGTGAATGAGAAAAAGTAATTTCCATGTAATTGAAAGTAGTTGTTTCGGATGGATTGTTTTTCATTTTGTATCTGAAAGAAACTTCCGTGCATGATTTACTTATCTTAGTGAAGAGTTTTTACTGATGTCTTTAATTTTTTTCTTCTTTTTTTGTAAGTTTTCCACTATTTAATATTGATGAAGAAGTCGAAAGGTTTTTTCCCCAAAAACTAACCTCTCATAAAAATTATACCCCTTTACATACATGGCGTCCTGCAAGCTACATTTGACGTGGTTGAAATATTACGATTGACTGAATGTGTATTATATGTTGATGACATTAACCTCATGTGCCCTGGAAACCAACGTGATGAACTCAAGAAAAATCGGAGAAGTTAAAAAATGAAGCATGTGGTTTAACAATAATCATTTATAATTGAACTCGAACAAAAATCAATGTCATGTCATAGTGGTACGAGCTTCAACATTTTGGGGATCACTAATGACGAGATACTGTTTTGGCACTCACACATATTGACGTTTTACGCAATAGGTTGGTAAGGTCAGTATACCTTCCAAAACACAACTCGGTAGTGTCGTGAATGCCGAAACTCTGCAAATGTTTCAATTTTATGATTTGTTTCATCTTACTGCAATATCTATTGTATTCACCAGAAGCAAGTCTTGAGAATACTGACTAAGCACTACTAGAATATATTGTCTTCGTCATCATTCTTTTTCCAATATTCTATCAGAGATACTTAAACATATTATAGACTTAGAATGATATAGATGAACACTCCTTTTAGATGCTAGGATAGAGAATTTCTTTGAAATTTCAATCTCTTCAACATACTCCCATGAAGAATACAACAATTCAGTTTCAACAATTCTAAATGAGCACTATTTTAAATCAAATTTTGACAAAATTATTGATTCTTGAAGTAAAAATGTTCTGCCGGTGTTTTTGTTTTGTTTATACATACACTGAATATTACTGAAGTTTTTTCCCAACACCAAACCATTATTTCAACACCTCGACACGTGTTTTGATCACCAAATGATCATCTTCAAGAGGAAGTTTATCCTGAAGTTTCGTACCATAGTTAGAAAACTGATGACTTGATAATGTGGCGTAGCGTGATTTACCTTTCTTTGCATGAGGCTGCTCACTTTCAATTTCTAAATTATCACTGTCAGATAATTTTTTGTTTATAATAATTAAAAAAAAATATTTAGTAAAACACAGGTTATGTATACTGTAGTTAACACAACTGTATACACTCAGTGTGGCGAGAGCACCAGTCACTTACGCAGAGCGACCTGTCTCCACAGCATGCGTCGCCAAGCCAGCAATCGGTTTTACGTGCGACTAATATTGATGTTTCACATCAAAAGTTGCCCAGTCTCTGTTATGAGGATTACAACGTTCAAACCATCTTGTTGCCTCGTTTAGTGAAAATCGACCAATTCTTGATAATGTTGGAACATCAGACCAGTCCATTTCAGTTTTAACAGCTTCTACATGACTGGCCAATTTGCTGGATTCATTATTTTCAGGTCTAAAAAGCAGTTGAATCTCCCTCTTTAAAAGTCATTTCCACAATTATCCACAAACAGCAAAACACTCAGTAAAATGTTTTTTGTTTGCGTAAAGCACCGTAAAACAACATTGTTTTTCATTGTTTAAACAACAGAATTCGTGAGTTCACTGTAAGCGTTAGGCACAATCCCACTGGTGGCACTTTGTATGAACACCGGTGGCACTTTGAATAACACCCTTTATTCCCTTTCACATAAACTAAATCACCTACAGCGAGTGAACACGAGCGGCTTCTGTATCCGAGCACGGAGAAACACATAATGAATGTATGATCTTCCTAATAATATTCCATTGAATCATCCCAAAAACAAAACCTTTCGATATCACAATTATATGATTCAACGTCTTAGCTTCCCATGACCGGCGGCGGTTCGACAAAATGTTCCTCATCGTGTGATTAATTCTTACACTATCATATAGCGTGGCGACCTGTCGCCAGGCCAGCAATTGGTTTTACATGAGGCTATAGCAGATGTTTCACGTTAATAATGGAAGATAAAGAACTTTTAAATATTGAAAAAGACCGCAATATAGGTACTCTAATTACAAAAAAATTGAAGACTTTCAAACAACTATGAGTTGATCACATCTGATATAGTAGAAAATACTCAATAATAGAAATTTTGGATGAAATCACAGAAAAAATTAAGCTAGCAGAAGACATAAGAATGTTCCATCCTATTCACAAGTAATATCCCAATCTAGACCAGATAAAACCAGTTTTTACCCTGAATCATTTATTGTTAAACCAAAATCAAAACAAGAATCATCAAAAAAGATCCAAGATATAATAGTTATATTGGTTGACTCAAAATTAGTATTGCAACAGTAAAACACTTGACGCGGGAAGTAGACGTTTACTGCAAATAAAAGAATCATCATAAATTAGAGAAATACTATATAGTTGAAACTAAAAAGAAAAGTATACCTCAGAATGAAAAGTGTTGAACTTTTGCTAAAAAACCTATTCTAAATGAAAAATTAGAACAAAGATTCATGAACAAAACTATTCTGATGAAGAATGTGATTTCATTAAAACTTCCTATTTGAAATATTTTTCACATGAAGATAAATATACTGTATTTGCGGAAGTAGACTGAAAATTGTTCAGTACAAATATTGGGAAAAACCAACGAAAAGTATTCATCAATTGCCAATACTTGAACGCTTATAATAAGAACAAATTAACGCAATGTTTTGGATGTTATCGATTTAACCAATCTTCAAAGAATTACAGAAATATAAACTAATTTGTTGTCGATGTGGAGATCATCATGAAAATTAAAACTGTATAGTTACTCAAGAAAAATATGCTAACTGTGACTTTCCCAATTTAACATATAAGACTAAGTACTGCAAATGACGAAAATTGCCGAATGATCAAAAATCAAACAAATACCCTTCCAAAATTAATTATGACTTTGAACCTTTATACATTTCATATGTGAATATAAGAAGTCTTAGATAAAACTAATGAACATATTTAAAGAAAGGAGAAATTGATATTCTTACACTTACCGAAACATGACTGTATCCTAACGAAGCTCCACTTATTAAAATTCAAGATTATTCAGAAATTCATGAATGCAGAAAACTTAGGACAACATTATCAAACAAAAACCCCTAGCTAATTGTAATGATATCATCAATGGACTAACTTCAACAAATTCAAAACTCAAAATTGGCATAATCAAACCCCACAATTTTTTATTTACTTGTAGATGATTTTGCACTGTTTTATTAAAAAAAAAAAAGATAATTTCATTGAAAATAAATATAAATAACGACATGACAAAAATTGTGAAATGGTTAAATGACCTCAATTCAACACTCAACTTAGAAAAACCATTGTCATGATTTTTAACAGATTTCAACAGAGTCTTAAAATAAGTTATTCAAATCAATCTCATCCAGTCCACCTGTGCCCATATTTTGAACAAGAACAATGCTCGAGTAATTCCAATGAAGATCATTTCATTTAAGACCATGGTATTCAAGAAAGATCTTCAGGAGATTCACTTATCAGAAATATAACAAGATAAAGCAATATTTGTCACTGATTTCCATTTATTATCCATGAAAAAAAACTCACATGAATTTTCATATTAGATCACAAAAATTGCATAATATAGAAGATACAGACCAAGCACTACTATTTCCAAAAAAAAAGTGCGAGTTACCAAGTTTATTAACTGAAATATATTTTTGTTACTTTTGGTTTTTTAATAAGTAAATGCTTTAGTTTTCAAGATGGTGTATATTAGCTAATCCAAACAAGTTATGCGACTTGATTATGATTATTCATTAGCATAATGTGTATAAAACATATTATATTATTTACTTATACTACATTAAGTTTTTCAATTCAAATATACAATACCTTATTTAGGGATGGATCGACAGACACAGGACAAGCAGTACTGTAGAGCATTTGGGCGCGAGTACTGGAAGGTTAGCATGTTGCTCTAATAACAGGTCTTGAAGTTAAAAATTTCACTCAGACTCAGTTAATTCAGTTCTGCATCTATTTGTCAGATCAAGGAAAAATCAGATAAAAGTCAAACTCTTTACCAAGCTCGAACCTTAAAAAACACATTAAGAGTCTGATCATATCCATCTTTCAAACTTCCAAACTGACTGAGTGTTTAACACCAGCAGTATCAAAAGGAAACAGCATACTAGCAAATCTTCACTCTCAGAAGTAATTGTGCAAAATAAACCTGAACCAGTTAAGTTCTTAAAGTTTGAATCACCTACTTGTTAAATCATACTCACACATTTATTGAAAAAGTCAATTTTAATATAATTTAATATCCTACACACAATTTGTCATTTAATCGGTTAGGAACCAAAGACATTTCTTACAAAAAATAAACATATAATACAAATTCACATGGTTAGTATGTTATTTTTCCAGGGGAGCATAATTGAGAAGTTTTTCAATTAGATCCACATGACCCAGGAGCATTCGTCTACAGCAATACCTTTTGAGTCCGAGTGCATCTAAGGCATCTCCCTCTGTATATTCCGCTTGCAAAAGACCTAAATAGGCCTCCCATTTATTCCCAATTACTTTTCCACATGTGAAACAACGAACAGGGATAATCATTTTAACCTGTAAAAAAATGATTACCTTGTTTTCATATAGATAAATATGCAGAATTTCACTATACCTTTGATTGTAAAAGTTGTCTTCAATGTAAAACCTTCCACTGCTTAGGTATTCTCAGCACTTTATTCAAATCCGAAGTAAGTGAAGCCAAAAACTAATATACAAGTCGACAATGACAACTGATAATAATTATTGGAAATTAATGAAATTTAACATCTACTCTGAATGTACAAATACACTATATACGCACATATTAGAACTTTCAAAACAAATGTCAAACCTCATACTTAATACCTCACCTCTTCTTCTTTTCTCATTGACACAGCTCATAGAACACACGGAAGTGATGCTTGTTTGGTGTCCGTCCACCCAGAATCGGTACAATTATTTAGGTTAAGTTAGGTCAAAAGTGAGTGAATCTATTCGACTCTCCACCGCAACCCGCAAGGGTTTACTGTAGCTCACGCCTAAACACACTTGACCAAATAAACTTAGTTTATTAGTGAAGCCGATTAGTCTTTGCAAGAATGGTGCTACCTTCCAGGCCAGTATAGCCAGGAATCCAGACCAGAGACAATATGTTGAGTCTTCTTATCGAGGAGAACCGTTTTTGGCAATTTGCTACCAATTTAGACGTTGCTCGGTAGGAGCCTAGAGCTTCCAACGCCACTTGACTGTCCGAGAATATTTTTATTGACTTGTGTATGAGGTTGGATTCTTCCAATTTCATCGCACACAATTCAATAGCGTAAATTTCCGCTTGAAATACGGTCGCATAGGTTCCTAGGCAGGTTGATATCTCTGTCCTAGGTTTGCAACTGACAACACCTGCCACTGGATGTAACTAAGATAACAGTTCTGCATTATCGAAAGTTTGCCCAGTCAAACAAGCCAATCAAGCGCTTAGATATGCATTGAAGGAACATACCCAAGGAATTGAAATGTCTGAGGGGTCAACTAGTAAAATTATCTATTTTGATGAAAATTCCTTTTTGTTGACATTTCATTTCAATATTATTTGTTTTCCTAGTGCAACTCAAATACATTCTAATTGAAATTCAAGCGTTTCAGGTGCTTAAGGAGAAAAGGGTTATGTACTGAAAAAAAAGGAATAAAAATTCAAAATACTATTCTCTCTCAATTATTCATAATGATAGTTACAAATATTCAAAATTTAGACTTCATTCCCAATTTGCGTAATCACCAGAACAGTAGTTTCCTCAGTTGGACTGAGGACGTTTGTGCCGATAACAACCGCCTCAAAGGTGGCACGTGGATATCGTTATTGGAGTCCAAAAGGTATAAGCTAAAAATGAAGCTTAATCTATAATGAAGTTACGTTTGAATACATATTGAATTGAAAGATGAGAGGATTGGTGGCCTCCTACGCCAGTAACCAGGCTGGATGTCGACGGATTCGACGAGGTCGTAAGTTCTAAAAATATATAAACATGTGTATTTGTGTTATCTATATCCGAAAACTTCTCAAGAAGGAGGCGACCAATAAAAAATAGAGTGATTTTGTTAAAAGAAAAAGTGAATGAAAAAACTCAGGGTGGCAGCATTGTCTCGAGCAAGATCGCTGCGTCCCCGGACTGAGCTTCTGTTCATTATGGACAGGAGGAGCCTGGCCAAAAGCTCTCGAATGAGAAGCAGTGTCTAGAGACATTAGAAAGAGAGAGAGAACAAAAACTAGTTTTCATAATCTTCCTGAATTTACTTTGGTTATTTTGAGAATACTTATTTTTTGAAGTTGCCTATTTTTCTACCTTCCTCAAAATATCTGTTCTTGGTTAAACCACTATACAAGGGTGACGATAATGGAGAAATTTCAAATTTTTGTCTAATATGTCTTATCTCTTCACTAGCCAAAATCACGTCATACTGATTTTTTAATATCGCCTAATATAATAAATTATAAACAATATAAATTCAAATCAAAAAAGTGTACTATGATGACACATTTTATCTCTACTGTACGAAGTTTATAACAATATCGACAATCGTTATTTAGCTACAGCAGTGTTCTGTGATTTGTCCAAAGCATTCGATTTTGTAAATCATGGAATACTGCTCAGAAAATTTTCATTATGGCATTGACGGAATAACTCATAGGTGGTTTAAATCATATCTTAACATTAGATATTGAATTGTTGAAACGTCAACTCCGTGATTGGAGCTAGTCTAAACAGTGGTGTCCGTTCATCAGGGGCTTATCCTTGGTCTCATTATATTTTCTTTATTTAAAAATAATCTGATGCTTCTGAATAAACAAAAGATGAGTGAAAAAACTAAGGTGGCAGTATTGCTTCGAGTAATACTGCCACCTTACAAAACTGGCAACTGTTGACAGAAGGAAATTGGCCAAATGCGACCGAGTGGGAAGCAACGGCCATACGAAGGGAGACAGAAAGAGGTAGACAAAATTTTTGCAGTGTTGTTTATTCCAAAATCGAATTGAATTTTTAGAATGAATTCAACATTTTCTCAGTTTAGATTCATAATGAATGATTTCTTGAAGATTTTTCCCATATTAAGTAAAACAATTAACATTCCAACAGTTTTAGGAAATGGCAAATACGATTCTTAAGTGGGATATATACATCATAATATAATATATTATAATATCTATGCTTCAGGTGGTTCAGTTTTGTTAGTGAAATTTTTGATGGCGGTTGAATTGAAATGTTAGGCAGTCATTTTCAAACATTGGAGACACTGAAGTGAATGTATCCGTGACCTTCTCTATTGTCCGTTAGCGTCTCCGTTCGGTGGCGTCACTTGTGGGTCGTGTCTGGAGCTCTTGAAAAGAGAGAGATGTATGAATTTTGAATTTATATTACCCGCGCTTTTCTTCAGGATCATGAAATGTAATATTTAAACAACTGCTTTTTCGAACAAAATTTAACTTAAATAAATATTATAAATAATAAATAGTATTTATAAAAAAACTGAAATACATTTTGAACCAGATTTATTTGACCTGCACATTTTGTCATTTTGACTAGCGTCGTCCTGTCTGTTTCCCATGCCCACTTCCCACTTCACCTTTGGCGCTCTTTCACACGGAGCCGGCCATCATTAGCAAGCTCGAAGCAGCAAGTTTGCAGTCAAGTTTGGTATTTGTTTACTGATAACTTGCATTAATCAATTAATAAATTTGTGTAGTTTGGTGTTGGTAGAGTCTTATTTTCACTTAGAATCTTCCACAAAATCTAGTAAAAATGGGTGATGAGAAAAAGGTATGTCCAAACAAAACCTAACCATGATGACATTGAATATTTTTCATATTTTATTTACTTGCAGTCTAACGAAGCTGAACACATCAACTTGAAGGTACTCGGTCAGGATAATGCTGTAGTTCAATTCAAAATCAAGAGACATACTCCTTTGAGGAAACTGATGACAGCTTACTGTGAGCGTGCTGTAAGTAATCCCAACTATCTCAATTTTTGGAAACTGTTATTTGTAATCATGTTTTCTAATAATGGCGCTTGAAAGTGCATGGTTTTATAGTTTTTTTTCAATGTAAATGGCATCACTGATCTTTGGAAAGATAGGGGACACTAATTGTCCCATCTCATAGATACATTGTTAAGAATAGCTGTTGTATTGATGGGATGATTCAAATTAAAAAGTTTTGGATATCCGATTATCAAATTAATTAGTATGTTACTATTATGAAAATTATTTAAATGCAAAATAATTAGACAGTTTACATTTGACCCAATTGAATTCTGATTGTGTCCGAGTTGATACTTTATTCTGCCCACCGATCTGAGTCATAACCATTGTATCAATATCTGTTTGTATGAACTGATCATGTTCACAATAAGGTAATGGAGTCTACCCCACGCTTGTTAGTTCTGATTAGACATATCAAATAAACTGAATTTGAAAGCTCATGTTTTCACTTCATTGTTAAACAATGGCAATAATGCAAACATTTTATTTGCCACTCTTTCAAAGCTTACTGTTAATGTTTGCAATCCACAGATCAAAATATATGTTCCAAGGGGAACATGGATTTCAAATAATGATTGAGAAATACATCATGAACAAAGAACGTATAATGTTCAACTGAAGAATTGAAGAGAACCCGCCCAAATTGAACTGGTTATCTGTCGTTTCCAAAGACCATGATTAATGGCATTATGATGGATTTCTAATAATGGATGTACTCAAAACCAATTTTAACACCAGTGTAGAGTGTATTTTCTCTTAGATTATAAAACAGGTTCAATAACCTTAAACCTTTTGAAAAAATGATTGTTTTATAAATTTGCATTTGATGAGTAAGCGATGTTATAATTTGGTGACATGAAAATTCCCTAGAGAGGTTAGAAAGTTACTTTTTGATGGCTAATTCAGCAATGCCTGCGATAAACGAGACCTTTGTACCTGCTCAAGAATTTGAATGAAAAAAGATATAGAAATTTTTGGTTTTCTTTTTAAAAGAGTGAAGTAAAGTTGATGGAGCAATTTCCTACGGAAAATTATGTGACTTAGCATTTCTAGTTTTTTTTTTTAATAAATAGGCTTTACAATTTACAACTCGTATATCAAATTTATGAACATTTAGTTAAGGGTGTCAACATTGATCATAATCATGTTGATGTATTTTGAATGTGTCAATAGTGCATAGGTGTGCATTATGTATCATTCGTGGTGAAACACGATGAATTTTTTTTAAAACCATTGTTTTCTTGCCGTTTCGAATTTAATTAAATTCTTCTTCAAGGCTCAAAAAGTAGTTTCTTCGTGTTGATAATATTACTATTTTGAAAACCATCAGACATATTATATACATAATAAAAAACATTGCAACAACCAAATTTCTGGGACAACACAAAAGGACATGACAAACGTTTGTTTCATGTTGTTTTGTGTTGGTGTTGTCTCGGAAATTTGAATGTTGCAATGTTTTTTATTTTTTTAATATGTATCTAATGTCTGATGGTTTTTAAAATAGTAATATTATCTACAAAAAGAAACTACTTTTCAATCCCTGAAGAACAATTTAATTAAATTCGAAACGTCTGAAAGAAAACATTTGTTTTTGTAAGAAGAAATTGATCCTGATACTCAACCAACCTTTATTCACAAGCAATATTATTTTTATAAAATTTTTCACATTTTTTCAGTAATCTTAATTATGGTATATTGGTAAAGCCATCATTATGATCGAATTGTGATGGTAATGTAAATAATTTAATTCAAATAACAATTGATGAGTCCACTGCAATAATGATGAATTACCTTTGTTTATTGTTCTAAGATAATTGGGTTTTAAGTTTCATAAACAGTGAGGAAAACTTGGACTTAGAGATAAGAAAATAATTTTTATTTAAGTTAAGACATTTATTGTAGTATTCTTTCTTTGGCAAATAATCATTCATAGGTAATTTTGACTAATTAGAAATTAAATAATCTGAGGTAAATCTTAAAAATTAAGGACAATATCGATCAATGTCCACACTGTGCCCACAGTGATAGCTGTCCTATTTGTTATAGATGGCAACAGTGAACTATGTAGTGTAATATTCTAATGATAGTGTAATTTTTGTTTTGACCTCTACATGAGTGACAAAAAATTATAAGAGCCTGGTACTAAGTATGAGAGGCCACATCATCTTATCCTTTTCATCCAATACTCTCATCATATGCAAAAAAAAATAAGATGAGGTATCAGCAAGTACATAAATATTAATCATAAAATAACTGAGCTGTCTTTCATAATATACATCGTTTGTAGTTATGTTCGGTATGTAGGAAGGTGTTTTTGTCAGTGTGTGATGTATTTTAATTTTTTCATCTACCTTCTATATATTTACTTTTTGAAGTTACTTGTGCTGATTTTTAACTTATACAGTCCATATTCCTGAAATGTAAGTAGATTTAAAATTTTGTGTTTTGTGACGTACTTTTACAGAAAACGAAATTCCTTCCATATTCTTGAAATATATGTAGATTTAAGATTTTGTATTTTGTGACGTATTTTTACAGACAACGTATTAATGTAGGACTACAATTGCTCTGTGAAGTAAATAAACAATTGGTTTAGGTGGAATTACATTGTTTCTTAAAATGTATTCAGGAATTCACGGGTTCAGCTATAAACAGTCCAGTAAACGTATAAGATAATTATTTATTTTTGTTGAAAATTGAGTTCATTGTCAACACTGAATTAGGAGTGTAATGGTTATCCAGTTCGCACTAGATCTCGACCTTTTTATCATCTGAAGTCAAATATTACATATTCGACTTGATATAAATGAATTAGTTTCTCCAGCTCATTACCATAGGCTGATCTAGTTTTGGGCATTTTATATTCATACATTATGAAAAGATTTGATGTGATATAATAAAGTAAAAAAAGACTCAATGTTCAAATCTTGTTAGTCAATGAATCATATTATGAACATTTTTAGTAGTCCATCTTCGAAAAAGACAATATTTTATGACTTCCTCATTTTTAGATTCATGAAATATAATTCAGATTGTTCAATGTATTTGTATATGTGACATAAGAGAGCAAAAATTTATTTTAAAATTGATTCATTTGAAATAAACTCATTTTAATTATAAAGCTTGTTTCAACATTCAAGAAACAAGTTTAATTTTGTTCTTCTATATAATGATTTATATGTTTGCTCGAGTTTTTTGGCAAATTTGTTTGCTGGAGGCATTAAATATCTATAACTCAATTTCTATTTTGAGAAATTTTGAAAATTTTGTGGCCAAGGACCATCTTCTCTCAATCATTTTGAAAACTGTACAGGCCTGTTTAAAAATCTGTTTAAAATCTGTTTTTCCGTTAACCAGCTGTTGCACCCCTACGAACGACAACCCTCAGAAGTCGAAACTTGTGCGAGCTAAGGATTAACGAGGAAAAAATATACAACATATTTTAGGTCTTTAACATAGATCTATTGGTGGATCTAAGAAATTCAACACCAAACAATTAAAATACTGTGGTGATTCTATCTGAAGTCCTATTCGTCTACCAGACATAACCTTGTCATAGGCATACAGAACAATAAATTATCACTTGTACTCTTGTTGTGTTTGTAACGAGAATATGTAAGCATGACTGCATTGCTCTGCAACTGTCTTCAAAAGAGACAAGCCTAATGAAAACGCTCTATGGTATCTTCTGGTGTAGGATCACAAATACTTTGTTTTTGGGCTCTGGTTTCATTCAGTTGACTTGCAGTCAAAGCTGCTCTGACTCATAGAAGCTTGGCTTTGCAAATGATCATTTTAGAGAGCCTCCTTTGTCTTTGAGATATTTGTGAATTGAGCTTTCTGTCGATCCTATGGACGCCGTTTTCAAAAGTGGAGATACCATCACATATATATGCTAATACCTTGCTCTCATCGATTACAAAGTATAAAATATGCTTTTCCTAACATTCAAAATCGATTGCGTTTCAACGTTTCCCGAAATTCTTTCTATCAATTCTCTTTTTCGCTTTTCTATTGGATAACAATGTAACGTCCAGTTATTTAAAGCCTTGTTTCATCATAGTATTAACCCGGAAACTTGGTAAAACGTTATTAGTCTCACTAGCAGTCTTGATAATTTTTTTTTGCGTTGTTCTAAATTCCGAGGCATTTATTTTGAAAAAAAATTCAGATTTCTCATGAAGGCATTGTAGTTTTTTCCCTAAATGATAGCATATGACGCACTTAGGTTTTTCATTGCCGTTTAAACTGACGGCTAAGTATTCGTCACAAACCTTCCGACGTTTCATATTACTTTGGCATTTACTTATTATTGTTTGAAGATCCAGATAAAATACTACAGATGAAGCAGCAGCACCAAATAACTGTGTAAATCTTGAGAATACTTTTACAATAGTGGAAATGAACTCTTGTGAACTCCACCATTTTGAGGGTTTTACATTTTTAAGAATATCATAGAACATAATACCAGTGAAACAAATATCTAGCAAGAAATTTGACCTGGCAATGTTTCCATTGAAATAAAAATAATGGGAGAATATTGAAAAACAAATTATATAATGAAAATGAAAATCACAACTTGAATTATTCATGTATGTTCGAGCAAAATTTGAAATAAGGAAAGTGTTCCCATATTGGTGCATGGGAAAAGTTCTATGCCAGAGACTCCAATTCTACTGCTTATTAACGATGAAATTCTTCTTGAGACTGCTTTTAAAAACAGTTGATTACTAATACAGAACAGGCTGAGAACTGGGAGCAACCAATTTTTGGGGTTTCCTGAAAAAGTTAGAATAACAAGAAAAATAATCATTTTTTTTGCAAGTAACGAAATAATACTTAATAAGACATTTCAGTTTACTTCTATGTCTAATACACATATCAGGTTTTTTTATTGAAAGGTAGAGAATCGGTGTACGTGTATTAATGGACTTTAAAAAAAAGATTTCTTGTTTCTCACTTTTCCTGTCTATCTAGAATTATATAATTATTAATACAATGCATTCCAGTAGAAACGAAACAACCTGTAACATTTCTGACAGTACAACTATGAGCGATGTCAGAAAAAATGTAATACTTTTTTAAAATTCTATTCAATTTTTAACTAGAAAGTGAAACTAAACAGAAAAATGTACTTTATCAAGCGTTTGAACTGAGCACCATTGATTTGCATACAGTAATTCAAACTAGCTTCTGTTTACTCCTTTACACTCTGAAGAGTATAAAGTGTTAGTATAGTAACCTACAACAGCTGATTCTTTCAGTAAAGTATCTACATTAGCTGCATCTCCTAGACTTTTGATTTCAACCATTCCCACAAAAAAGTTTAGTGGAGTAAAATCGAAAGATACTTTCAAGGAAAAGGTACTATGCAATAAGGAGAAGCCTCATTTTGTTGAAAAACTACCCCACATATCTTTTGATATTCTCAACACTTGACTTATGTATCTTATTCATCATTTTTCGTCTACAGAGTGAAAAAGTATATCATCGATGAAAACTTTTCCTTTGAAATGTTTCTTCATGAAAACACTGGAAAGCCTTTTGAACCAATATTTATCAGACGGTGTAGCGAATACAATCAACTCTGTTTTCAACTTAACTCTTACTCTGAAAAGAATATGATACACAGGTTCCTAATTATTTTTCCCTTTAATGTTAATTGGATCAATATCAATCTTACCAAATGGGTAAGAGAACACTTCTTTGAATTCAGTGATTGTTCAAAATTTTCTCAAATTCGTTAAAAAAATTCTGAGACTGAACTGCTTTTATTCCTAAAATTTTTATAAGAAATTTCATTTTGCATTGCTTTAAAAACGTTCTTTCAACCCTACTTCTGTCAAATTCAACTTTGAATAACCCCTAATGAAAAATAAATGTAATTATTCCATTCGGAAATGTTTAGAACATGCTTCCACATTCATTTGATTCAATTGGGCTTTGATTTTACCCATTTTTGAAAAAATATTAGGCTTTTTACAATAGTTACAAGTTTCACCTATGGCTGGCCAATAATAATGAGTGACATAATATTATAAATGACAAATAAAAAATTGTTACTTTGACTTATTTTGTCCAATGAGTCCATTATTATTACTGTTCCAGAAAGCAGACTGGAACTCTAATTGTGAGGAATCTAGAAGTTCTTTCTCTTTATTTTGTTTATTTCCAAGGCTCCTTCTTGTTCTACTAAATTCTTGATATTATGTTCTGTTTGTTCTGAAGCTCTGCATATGATGCATATCCAATTAACCTTCTCTTAGTAACTTTTTTCTCACTCTCTGACCTTCGGAATTGATGAAAATTTGATCACTTATCAAATCATTCTTCTAACTTTCAATTTTATATAACGACTCCAAAATTTAGAGGTCTTTTTGAAACGTGTCCAAAAGTTTCATAGCATTTGTGAGTTCAAAAGACCTTTTTTTTAAGGTGTACAATACTGTAGTGAATGTTTTAAATCTGTCTTGTTGGGCTCAGCCCTATGCCTCTGAGCCTCTACTATATTATGTATGTTGAATAAATATGAACCTTATTCTTGAATCACCCGCATCAAAATCCATTGCTAGTTTTATAGATTTACGCATACATAGGGACAGACAGCGGAAGCGACTTTGTTTTATGCTAGGTAGTGATTACTTTTTGTCTTGATCATTATTTTAACTGATTACCACTCACAATTCTTTTCGTGTGAGTTTGGTTGCCTTTTACGACTGCTCCATGTTACATTCATCAGGTTCAATGAAAATATATTTCATTAATTTAGGAACTTCATATTATTCTTGTATCGCATTGGCCTGTTTTGCCTTGCCTGATCACTAACGAAGAACTGTGTTCTTTTTCTTGTTCTAATAAAAACTTGATGAGCCAGTGGTCAGGCAACAATAGAAATAATTTTTTGAACATTTTTAACAATGCATAATTTTTTTATAGGGTATCAGCACGCAGGTAGTACGATTCCGATTCGATGGGAACCCAATAAACGATACCGATACCCCAACCACATTAGACATGGAAGAAGGAGATACCATTGAAGTATACCAACAGCAAACTGGTGGACACTGTTAAATATGCTTTTAAAAGTAAACTACCTTAATATTATTCTGTCTTAATGTTAATGTCTTTAAAATTAAAGTAGATTTATGTAAAATAGACTTTTAAGTTAACTTATAATTTTGTATTTTTATTATGGATGAGCAGAATGCATGTCTATGGATTTGAAGTGGCCTCCCATGTAGTTTCAAGGACATGTTTTTGTTTTAGGACAATTCTTATTCGTTAGAAACAAATTCACTGGTTCATCCTATCAACATTCAAAAGTTAAGATGTAAGGTCTGATTTTTGTATTTGAAGAATGGAAATAAACACACAATTTTCTTAATTCATTTTATTCTTTTTTTGTACATTGGCACAATTTTCTTCAAATACTGTATCACCATATGACTTGAAGTGTATGTTTCTGAAAACTACTGTTGCAATGAGACAGATTAGAGAAGTTATAGTGATGTACTCCGCTCTGTTTGAAAAGGGAACTCCACAAGTAGTATACCAAATGGAACCAAGTGATGGATGTTTTTTATCAGGTAAGCAGCGCCAATCGAAATATTCCTCATTGTAATCAGTTGGGCACAAATATTTTCTTTTTTGTAATACCTGCAAATATCGATGATTTTATTTTCATTGAAGGATAATGCATTAGTTTTGTATTAAATCTCTGAAGGCTATTTTACAATTACCCAAAAAGTAATTATATATCAACTTATATTTGTGGTAACGTGTTGGAACATTGTTCAAAAATTTATTGTCTGAAAATAATGGAAAATATACCACTAAATAACTGGTTTCAACTGCATATAACCTCTACCAAATACGACTTTCCTTTAAAGTAAGGTAAATAATACAGGGTGTTCCTAAACATCGTGCACATACGAAAGGGGGTAGTTCTTTGGCTTATTTCATAACATATTTTCTATTTTGGCTAGGATGTATTTAAACGGAGTGTATGAGAATAAGTGGATAGGACGGGGTGGACCTCAATCATGGCCCCCTAGTGTATACAACACCAGTGAATAACGTGGATGACTTACGAAATCGGATAATAAATGCATTTGAAACTGTAAGAAATACTCCGGGAGTCTTCGCAAGAGTACGGGCATCAATGAGAAGAAGAGCGGACGCATGTATAAGGGTAGGAGGGGGTCACTTTCAACATTTGTTATAATGCAGTTTAATTGTTATTATTTAGGTTTTTGTATTGTAAAATAAATCATTTCTACAAAAAATCTTTNTTCGGTGGTGCAACCAGGAAACGACTGAGTCGTCTCCTCAAGAGTGGGGTACCTTCTTTCTTGAGCGGCGTACGCAGAATCTGTCTCAGGTGGAGGAACAAACCCCCCATGAGCAGGTTAGCAAACGTTTGCGCTCAAGTGATGATTCACCAAAACTAGAGGCGATAAAGCCCTGCACGGTTGAATCTAAGGCATCGTCAGGTGTAGCTGACGTACAAAAACCCTCATATGGGAAGGTTGTCGCGGATATCAAGGTGGAAATCTTGCACCTTGACTATCCGACTACGTCATTAACGATGAAACAGCAGAGCATATACTTTGTGCCTGCCGCTGGGGACCGAATCAGGTTTTTAGATTTCGACAGAGCCGTACTCTTACCATCTGACCTGAAAGACCACTAACCATACAAACTAATTGGCTTCGTTAAGAAATTGGGTTTATTTGGTCGAGTATGACTAGGTGTGAGCCACAATAAACCCTTGCGAGTTGCGGTGGATGGTCGAATAGACCCACTCACTTTGGACCTAACCTAACCTAGTGGTGCTAGGTGGACCACGATTGCATTGCTAGACTCAACTGCCCTTAAAGGACAAGCGTAAGTATAATTGAAGGTAGTGAGATTTTCCTTACGAAGATGCCATCTATGGGATCGACAGAGAACTCAAGACACATTCGTACTATGGAAATTTAAATAAATCCTTATAACTGGAGCTGTTAGCAATCTTTCTCTTAGACGAAGGTTTCACACATACATTTAAGCCACGTTTAAATTATTCAAGTCCCAGACACTTTGCTGTTTCGGTCGGATCTTTCCTGCACTGATAAGAGGTAATACCTCGAGGTATGATCTCGAATGATTTCAGCATGGTCCTGCTGCTGGATGAACAAGAGACATCTACGAGGTGAAGTATCTTGCATGAATTTCTGTCGGATATAATTCAATATTCAGCATTATATTAACAAGGGAAGGAGTTGTTTTCCGGCAAGCATTTACCAGAGCCTACGGTATAGGTAGTTGGGAAAGATTTCGAGATTTTAGTTCGAAATATTTATTTTCTAGTATATAAAATTGAATTTGTAAAAACATCTTTTGGTTTCACAGAAAGGCTGCACTTGGGGCACTAATGAACCCAAAAGTAGGCTAGACTGGGAATGCCTTGAAGAACTAAGAAAACTTGCGGACGGGAGTAGACTGACTATATACTAGATATGCCAGTACCCTCAGTTATGGTAGGCAACGAAAAAGATACGGAACCAGATTGAAAAGTGGGTCTATAAGAGACATAATATACCCGGAAACACACTCGGGAAAACCCTCATAAAAGGACCACTAAGAAATGAATGAAAGAGCTGCTTCAACAACGCAGGATTGACTCAGAAAATAATTATAGGGCTAATCAGGCCACTGTCCATTAAGAAGATATCTGAACAAAATAGGGCTGCATACGGAGACCTTGATCGCAGACAATGAAACATGACATTTAAAAAGATAACCTAAAAGTAATTGCCATATTCATTGAAAACATAGAAAGTTTGTTCATAAAAATTGAAAAATACTAAAATTACATTTTGGGTACACATTCCCATGAACACAATGCGATTGACATATGGTTATATATTTTTGTAAATTTCTGGGAACTTTACAATGCAAATATGAAATAAATGTGTATATTTTTTTGTCGAACACGTTAATTGGATTCAAACCACTTAATTTTTTTCAGAGATGTTGGTATTTTTGTATACTGGATTTGAAAATAGTGTTGTTACTTTGTTTCAATATTGATTTTCGTTTCAAGTGTTGTAATTGTTTGTGTGGTTAATATAATGATGGTGACATTTTAAACAAAAGAAAATGGATCTTCTAATTGAAACAAGTTTTGAAATAATGTATCTGTCAGTTTTAACATTTTTATACAGGATGGGCCATCCAAAACTTGATATGGAGGTTTTGGGTACTAATCTTGCAAATCCGAAAAAACGCTCAGACAGGTCGATTGGAGCGGGACAGTTGTTTTCCCCATTTAAAGCGTCTTCACTCAAGTCCGGAGCAGAGGGGTGAACAACCCTTGGAATTTTAATAGGGAATAGGGGGCGAGTCGCACATCGTTTGAAAGAGCTTGGAATTCTCTAAACAATGGTGTACATTATTTTAAATTTGGACATATTTAAAAGAGTTCTTTACGATATTAACTTTTTCAATATTGTTAATAGCAACAAATTGTTGTACGCCACTGCTCTGTTGGAATGTATTTGGAGAACTCTTTCATTTGTTTCTTACGCTACTTTTTTGTTAATTTTTTAGTTCTTCTCTGATCAGATAACTATTACAATTGAGAAATGGTTAAAAACGCTGTTTCTATTTCTCATGTTTATGTTAAAAGTGATATCTACATTATTACTAGTAGTGAGTGCCGTAAAGTGTTGCTGAAGAAACAATGGTTTACACAACTGCAGCGACGGCTGAGTTGATTGAACTGTACTATGGAAATAGATGTGCTGCGAGAGTCGCTGAACTGTTCAATCAAGAACATGGGAAGAATGTGTCGCGACAGTATTGTAATGAATCTGAAGCCGGCCCTGACCGACGCATGACGGAATACCGCGAAAGAGCGGGAAGGATGCGGATGAGTCCCGAAATCCGCAGAGGGATCCGGAACGTTCGTTGACAATATAAAAACGTCGCTATTCGTCCCGAAGAGTAGTTTGAACCAAGAAAGTGAATCGAGCGGTTAACAAACGGTGAAGATAAATTAAGCGTTAGTTACTGAGTGGTGTAAATAAATTAGTTGTGATAGTGAAGTATTGTTAAAATAAATTTGTTTAAGACAGTTAATTCTTTAATTCGTTACAGTATGTTTTCGATTTAATACCAAAATTTCGCGCAACTGGAACTGTAGCAAATAAAAAACGGCAAATCGAACCACCAGTAACAAATGAGGCGACACAAGTGGCAATTCTAGGCCATGTTGAGTTTGACTATACTTTGGGCACAAGAAAGTTAGCACTTTTTCCGGGGTGTCACGAACTAGCATTCGGCTTATTTTTAAAACCCACAAAATGCATCCTTACAAGATTAAATTAACGCAATAACTGAATGGTCTGCCTGTTCGGCAGTATTTAGATCAGACTTTTCCGGATCACTGGATTGGGAGGCGGGGCACTATCGAATGGCCACCACGATCACCAGACCTTTCGCCGTTAGATTTCTTTCTGTGGGGTCATTTTAACAGCAGAATTTACTGTACTCTTCCTGCATCACTCGAAGATTTACGGCAACGAATCACAAATGAATGTCGCCAAATTATTTCAGAAATGCTCCACAATGTTCGAGAACGTTTCCAGCAGAATCTATTTTATTGCATGGAAGCTGGAGGTGCCCATTTTGAGCATATGCTAACATGAGAATAAAGTAAGTAACTTCAACTCTGAATTTAATATGGTTCGTCCAAAATAAAAAAAAAATGTACACCGTTGTTTAGAGAATTTCAAGATTATTCAAACGATGTGCTACTCGCCCCCAGTTCCCTATTGAAATTCCAAGGGTTGTTCACCCCTCTGCTCCGGGGTTGAAGTGACGACGCTATAAATGGGAAAAAAACTTCCCCCCTCCCAATAAAAATCGACTTGTCTGAGCTTTTTTTAGGATTTGCAAAATTAGTACCCAAAACCTTCATGTCAAGTTTTCGATGGCCCACCCTGTATATAACTACTGTATCGAAAGAGATAATGAAATATGCATCAATTGATAGAACACGTTTACTGATGAAAGAATTGATAAACTTGATAGCTTTCTACACAAAAATCTCAGAAATTCATGTAATAACAAATGGTGAATAGGTATTTTTTGTTAATTGTTTTCAGTACAAGACTTACTAAACGATTGCAAGATATAGAAGCAGATATTTTTTATTCTAATGGAGCATTATAAATAGTTGAAGAGGTTGAATTCAGCTCTAGGGCCAGCCAAACCAATTACTGAAATGATATTTCTCTGTCGCCTCCTTACGAACGACAGCCCTCAGAAGTCGAAAGGTGAGGATTCACGAGGTCTTCCCGTTTGACGTGCTAGGAATCACACGTGTTAGGAATCACACGTTAAAAGGTAAGACCTCGTTAATCCTTAGCTCGCACAAGTTTCGACTTCTGAGGGTTGTTGTTCGTAGGGGTGCGACAGCTGGTTAACGGAAAAAACAGATTTTTATTCCTAGCACGGGTTGGACGATACGTAATGGAAAGTGATCGTCCGGCCGAAGGGTTCAACCACCGTCCAAATAGCAGTGGATTGAATGGGTAGAATGAACCACTAACGCTATCCCAACTGGCAAACTCCTTGAAGGGATGAAAAATACACTGTTAGAATGGAAAAATATTTAGGTACTTGAGAGGCTCAAAATTTACTATTTTAAAAACGTTTTGGATTAGTAATCTGTTATCCAGATTGGTGCTGAAGAGGCAATAAGGCTAGTGTCTTATTCCGAAAAATCAGATGTCCGCCATTGAGGATACATTGCTCCATGTAAGCGAAATTTTCCCTCTTTCATATAATATACAGGCTGATTCACGGTGGATGGCACATTAGAATGATCTACATATCTCTGTAAATAGTTCATTATGAAAATAATTGCCTTCTTCCTGTTTTTGGAAGAATCCCACATTTTTTTGGTAATACCACGCTGGACATTGAATTATATCCGACAGCAGCAGGACCATGCTGAAATCATTCAAGCAGATCACCTACAGACCGGTTCCGATGTATTACCTCTCATCAGTGCATGAAAGATCCGACCCAAACCTTCATATAGAAGTAGTTTCTCAAAAGAATAGTGTCTTTTCTTGTAAATCAATGTTCGTGTTGAAGTAGATATTTCGAAAGGGTTTTTTTTCAGTCTGTATCTGGAAGAAACTTCTGTGTATGTACTACATATCTTTGTTGAGTGTTTTCATTGTAGTTGTTTTCTTCCTGTCTTTATTTTTGTTGAATATACAGTATAAAATAGAAGTAGAAAGCCAAAAAGCATTTTTCCAAAACAACTGATTTCAACCAACCGTATGAAGTGTATACGTACTGTCATCGCGACAAAAGAATATTTGTCTCTTCCGGTAACATAAAGGCGTAATATTATGAAAGAAATGAGTGCTTCGTTTTGTAATGTTATCCAAAATGGTGCTGATGAGGTGATAAGACAAATGTCATGTCTCGATACTTTTAAGTATTCCACTAAGGATACCAAGTAAATGGCATGTTTTACACATTTTTGCAAGAAATTTATTTTGAAGTTTGGAAGTATTCAGAAGTTTCCTTCTTTTTTGTTTGAAGATGGAGAATCTCTCCTGAAAAAATGTTTCCTTTTCAATTATGATTTTGTTTTGTAATGTTTTCAAACAAAAATTAAAGAATGTAATTTTGAATAGGTTACCTACAAACATATGTTCCTCAAATATCATGAAGTAGTTTATAAAATATTCGAATAAAAGGGGATGTTTTCTAATTCTTTCAATATATATTCGGCAAGTCAGATTTAAATAAACTTCTATACCTTTTATCAGCTACCCATTTTCCTCTACTATTACAGAATTTATCTCTCGTGAAGTGAAACCAAAATATGAACCCAGCAGTGAAAGAGGAATGGAAATAGTAGGAATTCCAGGGAACCCAATAGTGTCTGTCCTCAATGTTGGGGTCAGTGTCGTGCCAAGTCCAGTGTAAGAATCTCACCGATACTATATCATAAGGAAGATCTATCAAAACAACCAGAAGGCCTACTGCAAATGGCTCAGACCATTTTGGCAACCTCATTTTTGCCACGCCAACGGCAGCTTGGTAAATGAAACAAGAATCTGGAAGAACAGAAATGTAGCTCTCCTAATTTGAGTTTACGAATAATGAAATTATTCAACTACTGTATTCATAAAACATAAAAACCTTTATCATTATAGAACTCACATAATAATATAATATGAAGAGGCAATCTTCTTCCTAAAAATATTATGGGTGTTTGGGAATGCCAAAAATTATCAACATCAGGATGAATGTAGCTTATACTCTCCACAATAACTCCATGTATAATTATGGCGAACCATAAATAAGGTAACCTACCCCCACGAACAAATGCTGAAACAAATGGATTTTCAAACTATAGAAAATCGAATCAACATCTATACTAGGTATACTAATAAATGTGAAAGTTTGTGAGGATGGATAAATTTATGTATGTATGTTTGTGGCTCTTTCACGCCTAAACGACTGAACGGATTTAGATGAAACTTTACATTAATACACCTCATACATCAGAATAACATCTAGCCTACAATTCACAAAAATTATTTTGGTCATAATATAACGATAAGTATTAAGTAAGTCGGAAGCCACGGGCAACAACTAGTTTATAATAAATGATATAATGTAATTATATCCCACGTATATATGTTCCCACAATTCAATTGTAGGAACAGATATTTGGCCAGTAAATATGTCGGTTCATAACTTTTTCCAACTGATCGACAAAATGAAAAATTACTGAAAAAAATAATTTATTCTAATAATCGTGAAAACTTTTTACTACATTTAGCACAATAAAAAGGCAATTACAATCTTTCACCTTCAAAAAAGAGATATTGAGGTTATCATTACCAGTGTAAATATAAAAAGAATTATTAAAAAAGAAAAGTAATCTTCTTACCATGAATTAATGTTAATATTCCTCCTACCAAAAAAGCAAACTGAGATAAAAGATAAGTAGGTTCATTCTTCCAATGTATTCTTATGTCAGTTATGTGTATAAACCAGTCCCAAAACTAAAAAAAGAGAAACCTTACTTCATGCACAGAAATTCAATCTTTAAAATTCGAATCTGATAACTTTCGTTGAGCACTTTGTACCTAAATTATATTGGATTGTTTCGAAAGTTTTGCCCGTTTTAATGTCATGTGTTTTTGTAGCTCCACATTTCAATATATTACGTTTTATTCTGTGTCCGTGGTATATACTGATCGATAGAGAATTTTGTACTTTATACATTGATGCTGCCAATTTGAGCGATCGACAGAAATTGTCACATTTCGTTGCTTTTGCGCAACAAAAACGGTCTTTTTTTGATCGGATCGTCACGTGTGACGAAAAGTGAATCCTTTTCGACAACAGGAAACGTTCAGGACAGTTTCAGTTGTTGGACACCGATGAGCAACCTAGCCAATTCCCAAAGGCGAAAATCCACCAAAAAAGACCAACCACCTGAAAAGCGGCTGTGATTCACTATAACTTTCTTCAACAGCGACAAACCATCAAAGCAGGAAACCGATTAAATGTATCAAAAATTGCGTCCAGAGCAACTGGTACTGTTCAACAGAAGAGGTCCGATCCTGATCTACGACAACGCCCGTCCGCATGTTTCACGAATCACTGTCCGAAAATTAAACAAATTGAGCCTCGAAGTTCTGCCTCTCCCATCATACTCCCAGACCTCTCGCCAACCGACTACCATCTTTTCAATCACTTTAACACCGTATGGAAGTAAACACAAGTAAATTCACTCACTCCCAGTCGGTCTCTTTGATGTTTCGGGTCGAGATTTTATTTTTTGCTGGCATGTGGCGGGGCAGGATGATGTAGACTGAGAGCTATCGTGCACCTCTGCACGAGGTTCGATCAAAAAATATGTGACAATGACTTCATCATTGCTATGAGGAGCTCACAATAAATATTTCATTTGATTGTGAACTGTTTAGAAATTGATGAAAAATAAGACAAGGTGGTGAAATAAACGTATATTTTGTAAAGTAAGATTATACAATTTAGGTCAAAAACTTATGCTAATATATTTTGAAGATTTTTCAGAATGATGAGTTTTTGATTTTTTTTAACATTTGTTTTCAAATTTCTATTGGCAAATTTCAAAGTATAATAAATTCTTACCCTTGTGAAAAGGAAAAATAAATAATCCTAAGGAAAATTATCATAAGGGTGAGAAATGTTGATTTTTGAAAACATTGTTTTGAGCTCGTTGCCTATGCAATCAGTGGCACATAAATTATAAAAATGAGAAGGAAATTCTGTCGCTAGATGAATGATACTTTGTAAAAATGAATCTGGAGGCATATATAAATTTCCAAACTATTTGGCTTCTGTATCACTGTATGCCTTGAAATACCTATATATATTTGTTTCATTCAGTGTGATACTAGCCGCCGTGACAAAATTTGTACATACTTCACATGAATGTTTTCCTAAACATTTTCCCAAAGGATATTCACAAACATAGCCCAAGCTGTTGCCTTCGGGAATGGCTAGAGTTCTACGATCATTTGTCTCTACTCTCAAAGGAACTTCCATAAGAATCTTTACTCTATTTATGTCAGCATCTGTAATATCAGATAGAATCTCACTAGTATCTTCTAGACACTTAGATCCTTCTGTCTGTGTGAAATACTGAAGAGTAAATGTGTTTTTGAAAGCTCTGGTTTGCTAATTATGAAGTGTGTCAATCGAATGAAATTCTAATGTTTTTTGTTACTGATGACAGAATCTAAGAAAAAAATGACTCCACTATATATGGTCAATAACAATTTATTTTATGATTTTCGTTATATGTTCATTACTTCAATCTTTAATAATAAATAATAGAAAAACATACCTTTTTTCGTCAATTGGAAATCGAAAAAAATGAATGCCGACATCACCCTGCAAATTACAGCACCCCACAGCTCGACACTTCCTCATTTTGAAATTAGTCAAAATTTTTCACAAATACAAAACCACCACTTACAACGACTCACTCTGTAATAATATTCCATGGCTCAATTTGGCTCGCTTGGTAAACGCCTCAGATTCAGTCGGTTGCGCTGTAGTTCAGCCGCGCATAAAATTCGAGTTGGGGAATCTTGACCCAAATATGGCGGAGAGTGAACTTACTTGTGTTTACTTCTATACGGTGACTTCAATAACTTTCTCCCCGGTAGAACCTTATTCGCTATTCAGGACCAGGCAAAAACGGCCTTCATCGAATCCCGAACACACAAATTTTATGCGGACGGAATTAATGGACTTGTGTTACGTTGGCAAAAGGCACTGATTCAAATGGCGCTTATTTCGATTACATTCGATAAGTTCAAAGTAGACTCATAAAAACGGAAAAAACTTTTGAAACAACCTAATACTAATCTTACATAAAACTCGACTCACGTTGTTGAACTTTATTTCCGACAGTTCTGTTCCCGGTAGGAATAAATCTTCGTATCCCATGTTGTAGATTACACAATCGAATGAAAAAATATGGCTCCTTATACTTGAGTATGGGTTATTTTGATATCAGCAATCTGATATTTTCAAGTGAGTTCAAAGTGCAAATAATTCTAAGAATTTTGTTGATTTATAGACATCTCTGTTTTTTATGGAGTACCAAAAACATCCTCAACTAATAATCAATGTAGATTAATCTTTAAACCCACATATTTGAAATGAAATCAAGAAAACGGGAAACAATGTAACGATTTTACATAAGTATCTGAAACATAGATAACAATTTTAATTTTATCTTGAACTTGAATTAACCTTACTACCTTACCTGCTCGGTTCAATGTTTTATAACTCAAGATTTGAAATAGAGATGGCGATTACCTGTAATGGTAATTTGAGGTGTGTTCGATATTGAGTGCTGTGCAAGTGTCATTTTTTCGACAATGATAATTAAGACTTTTTCGTCCACCCGTTGAAGCATTCCATATTAGCAACAGTAAAACGGCTTACCACCTCTGCATTAATAAATCTCGCTATTTTATTTTTAGAATTGCAATAGTTGATTCGGCATTATTTAGATCAATAACGTTATCTACGTTGAGTATTACTTGCCTTATTAGCATCATTTGCCTTGAAGACTCCACGTTGGGCGTCATGTTCTCTTATCGACGTCGTATTTTTTGGAGTACAAAGGTCTGAAGACTCCATCATTTGCCTCGATCAGAAATTGAATAAAAATTGTATAAAAAACTATCCTCAGGTAGAAGGCTCGCAATAAACCCTTGAAATCAGATATGACAGTTTTCCTCTATTTTTTTAACTAGTTGAAAGCATTTGTTGAGGAGAAACAAATTCTAGAAGACAGCTGAGCTGACCGAAATAAACACCTCAGAGCCACCACGATGGATCGTGCCGGACGTTTGAAGGCCCATATCTTAGAAACTGGAGTATCTTCGCTTTCATTTGTCATGTGGCGGATCGCAGGTATTGATGATGTTCTAAAAATAACTGAAACGTCGTAGTTATTCTTGAAAAAGAAAACGTGTTTTTGTAAGGAAAAAAGAACGTTGTGTTTCTGTGATAGAATAACATTGTGTTTGTGTCCTTGAAAAAGAACAATTTTAGGTTTTTAGAATTCTTTGTATGATATTTTGTTGTTCCTATACAAGAATACAGATTTGAAGCTGAATGAGCTTTCAATAATACGTCAATCTCGGATAATCTCTTTTGACCTTCATTAAATCTGTTTTTTCGTTAATCAGCTGTCGTCCCCATACGAACGAAAACTCTCAGAAGTTGAGAAAACTTGTGCGAGCTAAAGACTAACGAGGTCTTACCTTTTAACGTGTGATTCCTAACACGGTTGCAGAATCATTCCAGCTTCAACCAGATAAATTCTCTAGAAAAATATCTGGTCGAGGCGAGAATCGAACCCACGGTCTTCCGTTTCATTAATTCCTCTATTTTCTGATAATATATATTTTTCGGTTGCAAACAGTGAAGAACATTAAGAGCTAATAGTTCAGCGGGTCTCTTTTCGTCGAAGGTACTGTCGCGACTAACGGACAGTGGCAGTTAGTCGCGACAGTAGGTATCGACATTCAGTCTGGTAGCTCATTGTAAAGTCGCCAAATATTTTTAGAGAAGCTCTCTCGTGATAAACTACAAAAATTCTCTTGGAATAATCGATCCGATTGGCACATTATAACAGTTGATGAGATACGTAGTTTTGGATTGCGATCGGAGCTAAAGAGTGTTGTCGGTTATAACTTTACGTTGGTAGATCTTATTACCTAATACTCGTATTCTCATAGTAATATTTCTTGGGGAGAAAATATATTTCTTATGGATTCCAAAAATTTCTGGATTGACTGTTCACAACCCCAAAAGATTTTTTTCCGGGATCCCCGGATTACGTTACCTATACTGATTTGCAGAAACCATGAATTATAAAATTCTTTGGAGTACACATCACATATCGATGAACATTTAAATTTCAAAACTCCCTGTTCTCTGGGTTGTTCGATCTTGACCATTGTCTCCAAATCAAGTAGTTGAAAGAACTAGGTATTAAAAAAATTTATTTGTCGACTCTTCCGTCTCTATATATTATGGAACAATCTCTCTGTTTTCCAAAACAAACCACAAGTTTAACTCAATAAAAGTAATTATCGATCATCAATGACAATAAATGATATCATTTTTGTAGGAATCCTGTGAATGATATCGATTCAATTCCATAACTAATGTTTGGAGTACAAACTGAATAGGAAAAAATGTTTTTTGTATAATTCTATGTTCATATAGAAGTAGTTATTTCTAAAGTATTATTTCTTTCACGTAATTCAATGTTTATGTGAAAGATTTTTTTCCCAGTTTGTGTCTGAAAGGTACTTTTTGCATTATCTACACATTTTTTGTATAAAGATGGAGAAGTAGAAAGTCTATACATTTCGTTTCCAAAAACTAATCTCTCCCGGATACACACCCCCTTCAATTTAAATGAACTATCGTATACCACACGCTGAATGCAGACTAGTTATTTTATTCGACCAGAGACCACTATTAGTATTTCGAAAACCTTCAAATAGAGAAGGTCGGTTAAATACAACGAAGTCGCATATTCCAAAGGCCAATCAACTTTTCCATCATGAGGTTAAGATGAACCCACAAGAACACCTCTTCGTCTTCGGGATCGGAGACGATGATATGGCTGTCCTAAAGAAGAAGTCGTTGAGGTTAAGCTACGCGTTTACCTCACTGACTATTAGGGTAACAAAGAAAGAAGCAGAGGGTACCTCTGAAGACCCTAGGTCCTTGGAAGTCGAGCCACCTAAAGTGGATATTGACCCCAAGGCCACCATGGGTCCCGGAAAGGAAGTCGAAGCATCTGAACAGATGACAGTCGATTACCTGACGGAGAAGGCACTCAAAAACAGCGAGTCCACCTCCCCCCTAGCGGGGGAGCAGATGGACCTCTAAAGGTAACTTTGAATCCAACAACTATCTCATGGGCAAGGACGTTGGAAAAAAAGTAAAAATAATACAATGCAACCTCCAACACAAAAAGGCGGCAACGGCAACACTATGTCGCCACCTTGATGTATTGGAGGAGGCAATAGCTTTGATCCAGGAGCCCTGGATAATAAATACCAAAATTACTGGTTTCAGTAGCCTAACTGGTCAAATTTTCAGCTTACCAAGCAACCAGCAACCTAGGACGGCTGTCTACGTTCCTAGGAAATACAGAGCGTTTCCGATGGCACAATTCAGCATCTCAGACCTCACTGCGGCTAAAGTTGAATGTCCAGTTGGAAAAAGCAAATATATGGCGTTGATAATCGCATCGGTGTACCTCCCTTCAGATGCAGTCACCCTACCACCGACCAGAGAAATGGAGGTACTAGTGGATCACTGCCTCAACCAGAGAGTGGAGCTTATATTGGGTTGCGACTCAAACTCTCACCACTTGAGCTGGGGCAGCAAGGATATCAACGCCCGAGGTAAGTCACTATATGAATATATAATACAGAAAGATCTAACAATCTTGAACAGAGGCACGGAGCCAACATTTATTAACGCCCGTAGCCAAACATTAATAGATATCACGCTTACGACAACCAAAATATAAAACAAAATCCAAGACTGGCAAGTCTCGGACGATATTTATATGTCAGACAACCGCTGGCTGACCTATACAGTAAGCCAGGATCTCAGAACCACTGTAAAATCCCGTGACCCGAAGAGGACGGATGTAGCTCTCTACAATCGACTCTTAAGAGAAGCTCTGCGGGAAACACGGTATCTATCCACAACAAAATAGACATTGCCTATAAGGAATCCTGTCCGATGAGGATGGTTCAAACACATGGCACGACTAACACACGGTGGTGCTCTGAATTGGAACACCTCAGAAAGACAGCGAGAACGACCTTTAACAAGGCAAAACGTACAAGGCTCGAAGAGGACTGGGGTATATATCAAGCCAACCTCAGAGAGTTCAAAAAAGTCTGCAGGCGAAAGCAAAGAGAAGCCTGGAGAGCCTATTGTGAGGCAGTCGAAGACTTTCCACTAACTTCTAGTCTACAGAAGGCACTCTCAAATGACCAACATAGGAGTATCGGCATCCTGACGAGGGAAAATGGCGACAAAGCCGCCAACCACCAGGAGAGTGCTGAGATTCTTATGGAAACTCACTTCCCAGGTTCTGTCTTTCCTGGAACGACGAACTGGACGGATGTACCAACAACACCCTCGCAATACGACTGGCAATATGCTAGTACAGTAATTGATGAGGACAAAATAAGATGGGCTATATCGGGCTTTTTCCCCTTCAAGTCACGAGGACCTGACCGTATAAGACCAGCCCTACTTCAGTGGGGACTGGACACACTTATGCCGCACCTGGTTGGAATATTCAGAGCCTCTCTAGCTTTGAGGTATATTCCCAGTAAGTGGAGAGAAGTAAGAGTAGTATTCATACCCAAACCAGGTAGGACGGACTACACCCTACCAAAAGCATTCCGACCAATTAGTCTCACATCGTTTTTCTAACCATGGAGAGGCTATGTGAGCGGTACATAAGAGATGAAGTACTTGTTCACAACCCACTTCATCCAAATCAGCATGTATATACTCCGGGAAGGTCTACTGATTCGGCATTTCACTATGTGGTTGGCAGAATCGAGAGATCATTGGACAACAAAGAATCCATCCTGGGTATATTCATAGATATCAAGGGAGCGTTTGATAAAACAACCTTTCCAACAATTACCCAGCAACTACACTCCAGGAATGTACCCCTGGTAGTAGGAGAATGGATACTCAAGATGCTCTCTAGCAGAGCAATAAGTATTAATGTAGAAGACATCACAGTGAAAGGACTGGTCATGAGGGGATGTCCACAGGGAGGGATCTTATCACCCCTTCTCTGGAACATAGTTCTGGGTACCCTAATTAATCACCTTAACAAAAATGGATTCTACACAATTGCATACGTAGATGACATAGTTATCTTGCAGACCGGCAAATTTGTAAACACACTGTGCGATAGAGCGCAGGATGGGCTCAAATAAATAGAAACATGGTTATTTATTATTTTTTCTGTTTTTCCGTTAACCAGTGTAAGGAACACTCACTATCCATCAATCCCAAGAAGACTGAGATGATCCTTTTCACCAGGAAAAGAAGTTTAACGGGCTTAAAACCTCCCGAAATCTTCAAAAGCAAACTAAACTTCTCTGAAGAGGTGAAATACCTTGGTTCTATCCTCGACAAGAAGCTAACATGGAACTCTCATCTACAGAGTAGAGCAAAAAGAGCATACGTGGCTTATGAGCAATGTCGGAGGACAGTGGGACGCGCATGGGGTCTTTCACCCCGTGTGGTCAACCTGCCGATATAAAGGAGATGTCTCCCAACGACCTGTCCACCTTCCTGGAAAGTACAGGATGGACGATGACGTAGGAGGATAACTCCTCGGGAGGATGTACAATGGGTCACATGTGGCCTAAGTGTGTGGGCTTACACTCACCCTCCCTACTCTACAGATATGTAATTATAATATAATACAATCTTTATTTGAAACAGGAGCATCCTAATTTACATCCGTTTATAATATTTGTAATTAGTAATGAAAAAAAAATACTTAATGCTAAATAAAGAATGCTAAAATATAAAAATACACCTATTGTGTCACAATCATCAGATATAAATATTATATAATGATAACACTTCCAAAATACAAATCATGATACTATAAAACAACAACAAAAATTAATTGGCGCTCCGGGGCGACTTCATTAATTCCAGTGGTGCATTTGTTTTTTCAGCTGCAGGAAAACCTGGAAAAACCTGCAGCACCACATCATCTGAAGATCTTGATCTGCCAATGTATCTGTACATTAAAATATACACATATTATACTCATGTACACTCAGTATATATGAGCAACACAACCCACTCACACACATGCCTTCCATAATTCATTTTTTTACATGTACAGTGGTGAAATGAATTCATTTAGACGAATTTTGAAAGTGTTTAAAGACTGTGAATTTTTAACTTCATTTGAGAGGTTATTGAAATCATTAAAGCCCTTGAAGAATAATGGTTTCATTGAGTTTACATTTGGAGTTCGAGCTATATGGAAATTGTTCACGTTTCTTGTAGGATAAGTGTGGATCTCATTAATATATGTAATTAATGTCTTATGCTTCGCATTCATCCAGTAGCAGTTCCTCCTTGAAATTAATCAAGTAGATCACCTACAGATCGGTTTCAGGGTATCATCCTTTATCAGTGTAGGAAAGATCCGAAACTAGTCTGTAGGTGATCCACTCAAATGATTTAAACGAGGACCAGCTGCTGGATGAACAAGAGATATCTGTAAGACAGTCTTGTTATTTTACTTCTAAATATTTATTTTCTTAATACAACTATATCTCTCGTCGACTCAGTTATAAGGCTGATATTGATTTAGGTATTTTGTTAGAGCGCTGGTATGTGAGGTTCTTTTTTTCCGCTTAGGGATTTGTTCACAAGATGTTGACAAATCTTTCTCTCAGACGAAGGTTTCATGATGAGGGGTAATACCCCGAAACCAGTCTGTAGGTGATCTACTCGATTGATTTCAGTGTGGTCCTATTGCTGAATGAATGGAAATCATCTACAAGACTCTCCATGAGATAACTTGTATAAATGTCTGTCGGATATAATTTGTGTCCATCGTGGTGTTAAACATGGAAATTCTTGATTTGCTTTACCAGATTCTACAGTTTGGAAACGTTAAAGGAGATAAAGGTTTTGAATTTAATTTTGAAATAAGACATATTTATTCAGAGCCATTTAAAAAATAAGTTAACCATTACCACATGTTTTAAAAGCTCTAATAGCTTAAACAATATATTCACTGAATACGTAGAAATAACGAAAAAACTATTAAAACAGCTTCAGAAGTCTCACAGAAGTTTTATTATTTATATCACTTATAAATAAAATAAACCACTAAAGACAAAACAAGTAACGCAACTGATATAATTATAAACCAATATTTCTTAACAAGTCCAACCTCCTCATCATCATTATATTTTCTCTTTTCTCTGCTCTTCTTCTTTCCTTCGAACATTTTTTGGTATTTCTCTAACTCTTTTCTTTGTCTCATCTCCTCCTCTTTCTTCCTTTGTTCATCTGCAGCTTCTCTGATTTTTCTTTCCTCTTCTTTTTTTGAAAAACACACATCGTCGCAATCAATTAATGCTAGTTTCTTTCTAACTGTTTCGCATGAAAATTCTTTCTTCAATCTTTTGCACTTGCAGGTGATTTTAACCTTTTTCTTACATCCCTCAGGATTTGGACAGGGTCCTGAGTGGCAGTTAGCTTTGCATCTGTGTCCACATTCATACTGTAAAAATAAATATTATCCATTATAATTCAATATTACTGGAGTTTTTTCCTAACACCAAACCGTTATTTTGACACCTCGACACGTGTTTCGATCACCAAGTGATCATCTTCAAGAGGCTAGGCTGTTGATTGAACGTCTAATTAAGCAAGTTGGCTGCGACATATAACATCAACTATATACTTACATTTTTAGGGCACTGATTTCCACAACTCTGCAACTCCACATGTTTATCTTCATTTAGCCAGTCACTGCATGTGACATAGGGTTGATGGAGTCCACAATAACATTTGATGCGTACCATGTTTTTGCAGGGTGGACAAGGACCAGGATGGCAAGGCCTAGGGCAGGAATGTGGACAGCCTTCTGGTCTTTCTTTGGAACAGCTACCTTCGCATTTTTCACAGTTTATACCCAACTAAAAAAGAAGATATAGGGAGAAATGAAAGATTTGAACATGATCACTGAGTGAGTTGACACTTAATTTTTTTTCAAACAGAAAAATGAAATCTGGAGCAAGTATTGCTTTTAAAAGTCTTGTTATGGAATATCAATCATTTTAAACCTCATTGAGTGTCTTAAATTACCACAATTTTTAATTTTAATTGGGATAATCATAATTTTTCTTCTTTCAATGGACTAAAACCATAACACAAAAATGTAACTGATGAAATTATTGCTTTTATACCTCTGTGTTTATAGTTTCCTCAACTAGATGACACGGTAAAGAGCAGCTATGGTTTCCACACTCTAATTTCCTTCCACAGGGACGGTGGCAACTGGAAGGCTTTGCCAAATAACAAGGCCAATCTGATGTCTCATGTTCTCCTAAAACATTGACAGTTCTGTCAAGGGAATCCTTATATGAAATTACACTATCAATGAATTGGTACGTTGTTGTTTGATGCAACAAATTTTCCTTTATTTTCAGTATTTTATTATATGCGAACCAAAAAGGGGGAAATTCGTGGACAAAACACTCCAAAATTAGGGGCAAACCGCAAACACGTGTTTCTGGCTATTGACCTCATCAGCATGGTGCAGCCAATTGCAAAGATGGACAACAACTTACCAAAAAAAGCATCACATATGCACGGTGTCACCAACAGGAACCAATCACACATTTGTGGTTTCAATTAGAAGACCTAGCATTACCACGTAGGCAGATTTGCAATTGGCTGCACCTTGGAGTGTTCTGTCCACGAATTCCCCCCCCTTTTTAGCATCTGTATCTCTGTATTTTATCCTGGACCCGGAAGTAACGCACGTAGCTATAACTGCCTACATGGTGATGTTAGATGTCCCCCCTTTTTGATTTATATCATACACACTCGATAACATCTATATCTCTGTATTTATATCCTGGACCCAGAAGTCACGCAGGTAGCTATAGCTGCCTACGCGTTGATGTTATATGTAGCTTGAGATTGGGTCTTCTAATTGAAATCACAAATGGATGGTTGGTGACAATGTACATATGTAATGTTTTTCATTTTTGGTAACCAGTTGTCCATCTTTGCAATTGGCTACACCACGCTGATGAGGCCAACAGCCAGAAATACGTGTCCGGAGTTTGCCCCCATTTTTGGAGTGTTCTTTCCACGAATTCCCCCCTATATAAACACATAAATTAGACAAGCATTGTCAATAAGAATGTACCTTGGACAATAAAGCGTATTTTGATTCATTACTTGAATGAAATCTAAAAGTGACCAAGTTAACAACTTCCAGGATGATTTTAACGTGTCAAATGAATGCCAAAAATTCTCTGTCAAATCAGTGTTTCCGACAACAAATCACAGATTATGTCAACTACATTTTGATATGAAACTGCATACTTGTTGGGGGACAACTCTTAATACGCCAATAGATGCAGTGAATGTGTACACAAAGACGCAAATATATAGAATACAATTCAATTATGAATGAAAAAAAATAAAAAAGGTAAGTCAATAGGAGTTTTCGTTTTGGATCTTCAAACACTGGAACAGCCTCGAGCTGCTTACAAATAAAACGCACATGCGCTTCGGTTTGATTGCACGTGTTATAACAATAACAAAATACATAACCATAGTTCTCGAAAATACTGTTTTAATTGGGTTGTATTAGAATAATACAAGTATTTGTGTGGTATTAGCTATGGAAAGTCTGATTCTGACGATGAATTTGTGTTTATGGTGAGTTATCAAGTAATAAAGCACAATTTCTCTTGTTAAAACAAAAAATATGTAATTTCAGGCTTTGATGGAAAAGCCAGATAAAACATTCAATATTTGTACAGTTCATCCGAGGCATGTTTGATGATTTTGATGTCAGAGAACCCAGGAGAAAACGATCAAAAATCCAAAATTATGTTGAACATAATGTCAACGAATATGATGACAATGAATTCAAGGCATAATTTCGTGTATCGAGGAGAACAATAAATGAAATTATAGGTAGGTATATTCAATCTTTGTCAAAAAACTTAATATGTAACAATTCAAATATTTACAGACCACTTTCAAGAAGGCAGTGCTATCATCAGTCTGGTATCTTGCTAAAAGGAATTCTTTTCAAGAGGTTTCTGATAGGTTTGGAGTTTCTATCAGTACAGCATACAATTGTTTAAGAAGGGTGCTGAAATTTCTCGTTTCAATGAAGAAGAAATACATTGTATGGCCTGATGAACAAAAAAAACTTATAGATTTCTCAGGCTTTTTCAAGGAATAATGGCATTCCTGGAGCAATTGGAGCTATTGATGGCAGCCATATTGAGATCCCAAAACCTGAGCAAAATCAGAATTCATATATGAATAGATACTAGAGATTCTGTATTTTCAATAATTTCAGGTACTGAATCTATCACATTAAAGGAGTGAGCACAATTATTTTTAGGATGGTTTCCAACAATGTCATCGATGACTTCATAAAATAAGAACCTAGAAGGTCCCTGACCAGTTCGGTTCTTATTATCTTTTGATTTACAATAACTTCTCAGTAACCCCTTCCACTTATTCTGAACGTCCTTTGAATCTACTATGAATCCAGCACTAATGAGACCATTGGCCACATTTTCAAAAATATGTTTTCTTTTTCGTGGATCATTGAAATCGGAATGAAACCTGCCATTGAATTTATAAGGCAAACAATTTGGTTATAGCTCCCAACATTCATTATTTTCGTGCTGCCTTGTGAGTTTAGGGCTATATTTTCTGGCATGGACTCCTCAAGATCAAAATTTGGAGATGTAGAGTTCATGACTCTCATTCTGATCTACATAGGTAGGTGATTTATCTATTTTTGCAGTCATCCTAGCATGCATTAGTAATGAATTGGCAAACTGGTGATCTGAAAATGGAATTATTAATTTCAAAATTAAGAGAGTGATTTTAGCTTTACCTATCATTGCCTGGTTATAATCTTCGATACTACGGTAATCTTCAACTGTTTACTCATTATTTTCTTTTGATTCAAATATATTTGTTTCTTGTGTAACTATTTGACATACACATAACCAAAAAGAGCTTATTGCACCATGTCAAAAGGTGATGCAAGAAGGGGCAGGGGAAGGTAGTGTGTGTTGCTCCGGACCTTGAATCACGCTTCAAATAGAACGCGTCAATGTCGTTGCTTCGAGCTACGGAGCAACATCGATGTTCTTCTGATGGTCAAAACGAAAGCACATAATGAGGTGCTTTGAATTGGCCACCAAGTTCACGTGACATCACCCCATTAGATTTCTACTATGAGGTTATATCAAAAACAAGATCTACCAAATAGGTTCTGACGTCACTCATAATCCAAAATGATGAAGTGTCCATGATGGCGGACTAGTTTTGTTATGCACCCTCTTAATATGAGTACCAAATGAACGAGTTTGTTGAAAATATGTAAAATATTATGACGTCAGTCTAAATCTATTATGGTGGAACGCCCCAAGATGGCGGACTATTTTATTATGTATTTCTATGATATGGATATTGAATAAAAGGGTTTGCAAAAAATAACACGATGTCACTTTAAATCCAATTTGGCTGACGGTCCAAGTTTTATATGCACCCCCAAGATATAGGTGTCAAATGAAAACGGTTTGCCAAAAAGAATATGAAAAATAACATGACGCATACACGTTTTTCATGCACCCCCACATGAGTTGTAACTCGAGAAAGGTTAGAGGTAGTTTAGTGATACTCGAATAAATGAAGGGGAACGACCATGCAACAATGAGGTATTAAATGAAATGTGCAGACTAAGAAAAAAGTTCAGCGATTACTGAAAAATAAATCAATTGTGAAAAATAATTTTTAAATACAAACATTTATTTACAAGCTCTAAAAAGAAGACAATGAACTTTAAATTAATACAAATCCATCGAATTATTGAATTACACAATTTATATGATATAAAATATATAAGTTTGTCACATTTATCTGAATAGAAACAAAAATGCAATATGTAACTTGATCTCATGATCAATTCTAGGAAAAAAATATGGTTTTTCATAAAATTGGTAATGTTCGAGACAAGTTTTTATATAATATAAAAAGTATAATGTAATAAATGAATGGGTTTGATTTGACTGAAGTTTATTTTCTTCTTTTTAGTGCTTGTACATGAAGGCTAATATTTGAAAATGTTTTTATTTTTAGTATTGATTTATTTATATATTAATGTTGAGGAGATATGTATTTTATTCATCATAGGTTAGGTTAGGTTTGCATTGTATACAGTGCGAACGTAAAGTCATCTCCCCCCTCAACTTTTGAAAAGAAAAAGATATAGTCGGACAAAATGTACATAAAAACGGATGATTTTTAGTAATTTTTGATAAGAAAGACTTTAGTGCTACATCTCTCGTCGGTGGATCAGCTGTTCCTGAGAATTTAGCAGTTCTCACTCCAGTTTATTGCAATAAATATTTAAAATGTTTCCCATTCACTTTCTGGCAATAAAGAAGGCTTCTTACAAATTTATATCCTAAAATGTTCCTGGGGCAATTTTGTTGCAAACACATATTTTTCTATCGACGAGTCCTAAAATGAACTGTGATTGTATCAGATAATTCAGATGCTGCATATTCCCTGAAAAAACATCTAGAGACGTTATATCTGAAGATCTAGTGGGCCATTTTGAAAGATCACGTCTGCCTATCTATCGGTTAGAACTATTTACGTCTAGCTCTGTAATAAAATAGGAAACTTTTGTCCAATTTAACCGACCTTGTAGGTCTTACTATTTCCGAGACTGCAATAGTAGGATCAGCTTGACACTGGTAAGTCATAAAAAAAGCACACATTTTGGCATACTGATAGCAGAAAGTCAGCATCCTACCATAGAAAACCATTTTCAGATAGTCTGATTCTAATCAGGGGTAGTGATTTCCTCTCTAATTGTCAGACCTCACTGATAAGCTCCTAAGAGTAAGAGATGAGGACAAAAAATAATAATCAAACATAAAACTTATATTGGGTATTCATAGGTAGAGTCTGCAGCTCACTCAAGTGGTTACCAAATATTGTCCATAATTGTCCATATAATTTTAGGCAAATCAAAAAATGTAATTTGACCTAGGAATAAACAGAAACTTGTGAATCAGAAAGTGTCAATAACTTAGCTATCAGTAAGAGTACTGTGATAGCGAAACATGTGATATCTTTTTGAAAATAAAGTTTGTGGAGATCAAATCGTAAGGTGTAGTTTATGAAATTACTATAGATCTTCATCGAGTAACGGCCGAATCAATCAGAAAAAAACATCAAGTTATAGCTTGAGTAATTACAGTAACAACCTAAAAAATTGAAAATTTTTTGATTAACACCATTGCCCTAATTAAAATTTGGGCGAGGAGTATTAATTTGAAACAATGATGTCAGATTATTCTTCAACTTGTAATACTTTGAGATAACGTTTGTTTGAAGGTAGTGGACAATGTAGTATTTACAAAGTTTCTATTTACTCAATCAAATCAAATAAAAAAGTACTTTATTGTCGAATAAAGAAATTTTTATTAACAAAGCAAAAATAAATCAGACAATTTACAGTAAATTAATTGAACTAAAATGGAACAATAAAAGGTATAACGCTTACATGTAGGCAGGACATAAAATTCTACAAAGCAGTTGAAAAATTATTTATATGTATAGATAGAATATATCAGTCGATTTAACCTCAAAGGTTCAGGCTCAAAATCTGTCTTCAAGATATTCTTCCAAGCTATAATATGCTTTCGTAAGTAAAAGTTTTTTCATACGTTTTCGAAATGTTTTTGAGTCTGTAATACTTATTATTTCAAATGGTTGATGATTAAATATCTTCAGACTCTCAAATATTATGAAATTTTGGGTTAANAAATGTTTTGACAGCAGTTTCATGATCCGAGAGTGCCACGGAGATAACGGTAGTAGCAGAGGATTTTGATATTCACGTCGATTGTCGTACATGCATTTTCAGATTGAAAGAGCTCAATAAGAGTCTCAAAGATTGAGTGGTTATATCTTCCTCTGTAAAGTTATATTGAAGTCACATATTTTAGAATTTACAGATAAATTTGTGAGAATAGTCTCCAGATTCCTGAGGAAAATATTGAAGTTGGAATTTGGAGATCTGTATGAGCAAAGGATGTAAAAATCACATTCTTTATTGTGTACCAAAGAGAATTCAAACTTTTTGCTCTATAAGAAAAGTATCACATTTTGAAAAATTTTCTATGAAAAATCTATCTGCAAAATTTTTATTTATCAGGATCATAGTACTTCCATGATTTGATTCGCTTCTGCAGAATTTTGAAGCTGTAATATTGTAGCAAGATGATGACCTATGGCGTTCAAGGACTCTACCCTTAATTTAGCATCGATGCAACGACGCGTCATAATGTCACTATGACCAACACGAGGCGTACGGAGCGAGAGGGTACCGCGGTAGCTGATTCTTCGACTTGATAGTTTTGATGATGTCATCATGTAGTATATTTGATGATTTTAGTATGTATTATGAAAAGACAGTTGTTAGTAAGAACTGATTGGGGAAGGACCTCCGTATACAACTCCTAGGCAATAAACCTAGTATCTAAGTATTCTGGTGTTACCCAGGGTATTTCCCTCATAAGGCTACCTTGAGTCACCCCCCAACCGAAGTTGTAACAAAATGATTTCATGATAGTTGAGCCAATGTTCTGTTAATAAAATAAAATTGGGATATTTTACATTTTCCACCAATAACAATAATTCATCAGTCTTATTTATAAGTGATTGGGTATTCAATAAAATTATAGAGAGATTATTTTCATCATGTGTCAGTTCAACACAGTTCGACATTTCATATTGCAAGGTGTCTGAGAAAATATTTGTCAAATCAGATCTAAGTCTGTTTTCACAATTTCATTTATCTGATAGTAATTTTTGCAATTGTTTTATTCAATGAATTTGAAAATCCCTTTGCATATACGATCCCTTAAATAAAAAAAACTAACTCAATATTTAAAGGTTGAGATGCATCATATTGTTGTTCTATTTCATTTCCTTCAGAATATACATTACTATGTTCTACTTCTTGTTAAGGCTGTAGAGGGAGATAGTAGTTGGTTTCTTCACAGGAAGTTTCTGGGTTGATGCTATTGATTGAATCACTTTCCACAATACGCATTTCAAAACCATTCATCCCTGTTATTCCCGCTTGATGTTCATTTTCAGGTTCTATAGGTTTTACCTTCAGCTACTTGATTTCCTCCATATACATGTTATTTGCTTGTGTTTGAAGGTGATTTACAATGTTTCATGATGAATTTCACTAGTTCGGACTTCCAATGTCACGTTAGTTCACGACGTTTCGATTGTTAGTATCTACAATCGTCTTCGGGTGATGACTGGAATNTTTTGTCCAATTGAGAAAGCTGGTGTGGTTGTGAAACGCGTATTGGAAATTGAATTTTGTAATAATTACCTTGAATAGTTTTATTGATTTTCACCAACGGGTCAGTGTATTTAAAAAATTAATTATACCTCAAAAAATTATTCATTTTTATTGTTGTAGCATTTGTCTTTTATTATTGGACTGACGAATTTTCGTTTGATGATTTGGCAACATTGCTTCTCAGAAGTTTTTACCTGCGAATGGAAATTCGAGAAGCAAGAGAATCGCAAGGAAAATTGTCAGAGTCGGTCGGTCCGGTTCATATTGTTTCAACTATTAACGGTAGTTAGGTATAGTTTTTCAATGAAAGTCAGTATGGCGTGCTTTCGATCCGTTATTCATTAGTTTACAGGGTGGTGTTTTCCTAATCGAGAAGACAAACTACGGATTAAGTGAAGGTAAGAACTTTCTTTATATTCCTTACAGAACATTATTGGGTAGAAATAAACAAAACATTTTGGTCCTTCAAGCTGGATGTGTAAAATTTCAAATAGTTCGTAGTTTGTTCGAATCGGTTTCGCTGAATTTTGTAATTTTTGGTTACCTACAATATTACGATTCGTAAACCTACATTTCTACGGAAAATTTAAATGAAATTATTGATTATTCATTTCAACTCATTTCGAATATAATCTTTCTAGGGAGTTGTTATTCCACAGGCATTGTGTCGGTTTTTTACAGTAACAGTTTTTTTACTAGTCCGCACGTTCACGGGTTTAGGAATGCGGTGTTGCCAAATGTGCTGAAAAGTTACTGCATCGGAAGGAAAATGAAAAATGCTCATGGCTGAAAAAAAGTCATTATTTTCAATTTTGCAAAACCTTTTGGATTTATCCAAATCAATGAAAAATGAAACGGAAAAATCTAGGTTTTCGGCCTTATTTAAGTCGATGGATTCAACGAAAGCTGATTTTATCAAGATTATTGACCATATTATGGAGGTTAGTTTTGATGTAGATGATGCGTTCACACCAAATTATGCAATTGTTCAAACAATTGATGAAATGTGTTATTATATTCATAATGCGGCTGCAAAATTAAAGAGAGAACAGCAGACGAGTGCTTCGCAAAGCAGTGCGGCGACGTCAACTGCACAGCATTCTAGTGCTTCTCAGGGTAATTCGAGTCTTCTGGGAAACACCAGTTTCGCAAGAAATCTTCCTTCACTTCCAAAAATTGAACTTCCGGAATTTTCTGATGATATTCGAGAGCGGAAAACGTTTTACTCAATTTTCAAAAGTGTAATACACGATAATAAATTGCTGACGAATGTTGATAAAGTCAATTATTCAGTGGGCCGTTTGAAGGGTTCTGCATTGAGTGTTTGCACGGGATTGGCTCCTACTGGGGACAATTATGATATTATTTGGAAATCTCTTGTTGACAAATACCAAGATGAACGTTCATTAGCGACTAGTTACTTGGAGCAGATTTGGGGATTCAAGCATAAAGTAGTCTACAGTGGTCCAAACACTTGACTCTAGATATATATTTTATCGCCCTTTTTTGTAGAACAAACACTGATTGCATCAGCTGCTTGCTGCAGAAACCCCAGAAAGTGATACTATACCTCAGATGAGACTCAACTGATGAAAAATGTCATGTTTTTCCAGCTGTGAGCTACTCAGTATATTGTGCTTTTCCAAAAATTTCAATAAACTTTTTTACAAACTTTTCTACCATCTTCGACAAAGTACTGAGAGAAGCCGAGCAACAAGTGCTCCACAAATCTGCGAGTTTTTACTAGTAACAATATACTTTATTATCTCATGTATATCAAAAAAAAGTATATTGAGCAGTGAACCTATTGCAAGAAAATCAAAAGTGATTTAATCCTTCATGGATCAGTTATTATAGACTTTGTGCATAAGGTGGATCCACCTAAATCAAAGTGTGTGCAAAAAAAACGCTGATAAGTGAGTATTTATTGTCTATAAAAAGTGCGGACATAGGATATATTTTTATTGACTTTAAAGTAATTGTAAACATCTGCCAGTGGCGTACAAATTTACACAACTGGAGCGTAAATCCAAGTGCTGCAAGAAAGACTTTGTACAGTGCCTAAAGGCAAGTTGAAACATTGACGCTTTCGGTATTAAGAGGATAAGGACTAGTTCTCAATGACATCAAACTTCAAATGTTGCAAGAACAAAGAGTGTCAAAATGTCTGACGTATCCAGTGCTTCAATATGTTCCACGCAAGCTGTATCGACCGGATGAAAAAGTATACATTAATCGAAGGTTCGAAATTATTTTACTCAAAAGAATGTGCCAAAAAGAAGCATACAAAGGAAGAACGGGTTAGTACTATGGAGGAAGCTATCCAAAATTTAAAAAGGCAGGTAGAGGAAAGAGATGCCACAATTGAGATAATGGAATTAGAGATCCTTAAAACGTTGAGAGTAATGACACTTTACTCTCTGATAATTTTTGTAAAGTTACTATATGTCAAACAAAACGTTAATAGTTACTCTAATGTGTCCAATATACACGGTCACAATACTAGAAATAAAGATAATTTGATTATACCTCAAACCCGGTTATAAAGAATGGACGATACTATTGATAATAAAATGTACAATGCCCTACCTCTCACAGTACGTTCTCTGAACTTAACAAAATTCAAAAAACACTTAAAGACATTACTTACGAAAAATCCCCTGTATGGTATTAATGACTTTTTCCATTCATTCCCTGGACCATAGAGCAAAGATGCCTTGCACGATTGTATGTATGTACTGTATTATTATTTTTATTGCACAGTTAAGTATCTTCTGAAGTTTTTATATTTTACTTTATGAGCATATGTTAATTTTAACGTATTTTGTGACGTGTTCTAAAGCTGTAGCTTTGTTATGAACCAAATAAAATTTTGAAATTTTACCTAAGCATGTTACGGCCACAGGAACCACACAATCTGGACATGGTAGCTCTTTTTTCTCAAACTGAGGTTTAGTTTGCTCCCAAGGCATAGAAGCTTTCTGTCCTTCAATTTTCATAAGAACAGCGGAATGACAAGGCGATGGACATAAGTGACAGCAAGATGTTCTGCTTTTGTTACAAGTTTGCTTACATGGAGGACAATCACCAAAATGACATTTGTGGTTTTCCCTTTGTTTGTGGTGACAATCAGGAGGAAACCTGTAAGTAATAAAATTTATTCAATATATACAACTAATAACTACTTATTTCACTCACAAACAGAGCTTGGTACATTTTGGTGGTCTAGTTTTGTTTTTGCGGCCACATGGCACCACTAATTTTGTCTCCCCACATCTACAAGTGACAAAGTCAGTTTGACTACAAGGATAACAGGGACCTCTATGACATACGGAAGTACATTTATGGTTGCCACAATTGAGAGTCCTTCCGCAGGGCTTTTCACATGGGGGACAGTTGCCATCACAACACTAAAATTCAGAAAAGTATGTAGGTAGCTCTTACCATTTATTTAATCTGAACGTCATACTTGAATTCATAGAAAATGATATCATTCGCAACTTATTTCACTCACTTTTCTGTTACAAGGATGTTTATTGCAATCCTTCATCTGCTTACATTTCACTTCACAAAAATAAGGCTTGAAGCATTGGATTTCTTTGATATGTAATCCACATCTACAATACTTCTCAACAGTTTCTAGGCACTGAAAAAAAACCAGAATATTCGCTAAGGTGTGATTGAGATCTCTCAAGTTCAAGACTAACCTGTCCGCATTTTTCTTTATGACAGCGTTGGTTACAAGTATGGACACCACATTCAAGTAATTTTTCACAGGTATCTTGACAGCTGGGTGTATCTTCAGTACAAGGTAGCTGGAAAGTGGTTTTGCCACAAGGACATGTCCTCAGTTTGCTTAGAGGGCACATATCACATACCCCATCATGACATACTTCTTGACATCGATGGTTTCCACATTCTAAGGCCTTATTGCAGACCTAAGATAAATCAAGACTCAGTAAATTCAGGAAAAATAATTTGTGAAGTACAACATGAATTAATGTCGAAATGACTATAATAGTGTTTAAAAAATGACTGAAAAAATACCCCAATCTCATTCAACAAGTGATTGCCTGTAATACAGAATGTGGGAAACACGGTATGGTGATAATAAGTGGCAAGTAACTTTGATTTTAATGATTTGTTTTATTTGGACTATTTGGACGTATTGTTTTATTTGGACAACGTAAATAAAACCATTTTATTTTGATGCATTTAATGAAGTACATTCCATATTCAATATGAAATGATCGATTGCCCTGCTAACCGAGTTATTCTAAGGAATCTGATAGAACAGACCGAATGGGAATTCTATTAAGAGGGTGAGAAGAACTGAAGCTCTATTCAAATATGGTATGTATGGGCTAAGGATCATGTTACAGAATAAATTATTGAAATATCTTGACAGTAAAAGTTACAGCGAAGATCATGTTTACATGAAGGAAATAAACATTTTCAGAAAAGATAGACAGTCATTAAAAATCAGAATGAATTCAACACGAAAGAACAAGCTTGCATAAGTATTTTCTGGACTAAAGGTGTTACAGAAACAGAGTTGACTTTTTAAATTTCTTATTCAAATAAAAAATGTTGTTAAGTTTCCATTAAATTTTCACTCAGAAATTCAAATAATGGATTTTAATCAACTGAAAAAACAATAATTGATATACTTGGAAAATGATGTAACATTGCTAGGTTATAATTTCATCTTTTTTCATAGATATATAATAATACTCAAGTCTTAATGGTAAAACCTGTTCAATTTAGGCAAAAGTGATATTTCCCTTCAATAGTGTCAAAAAAACATATTCTAATTCTCTGAAAACTAATATTTTGAAGAAGTTTACACTGCTTTCAGCTGCAATGATAAATTCAACATATTATTTGATATGTTTTTTCATGAACTACACAGTAGCTTTATCAAGCTACTGTATTAGCGAAACATGTTGTGATATATATTTTTCAAATAAAGTTTGTGGATAACAAATCGTGAGGTGTAGTTTATGAAATTACTATGGATCAAGTAACGGCCGAATCAACTAGAAAAAAAGTATTTGATATGTTTTGGAAAATATTTGATAGGGTTTCACTCTTTCAAACATTAAGTAAAATGCAAAGTAAAAATCCTGTGTTACTGATGAAATTAAAAAGCATTACAGAAGAATGGAAATTAATCAGATGAAGCTGGTAGGTACCACAAAAAATATTTTCTAGTTACCAAATATAGGAATTTGAAAACAAAAATAAAACGTCTTGGAAAATTATCAAAGAACTCCTAAATGAAATCAATAACAACTCCCACATGAGAATTGTAGTTGACAAAAATGAAACTACTGACCCCAAAACTGTATGTGACACGTTAAATAAATATTTTGAACGAAAATAGTAATATAAGATTATTCTGCAAATTTGGCAAATCAGATGTATCTGAATATATAGAAAAAACTGAACATCTAATCTTTCATAATCAACTTGATGATACAAATGTTACTCGAAACTATGCCATAAAGTTCTTGGGCATTATTTTGGAGAATGATCTTGACTGGCATGAATATATTACCAGTGCAATAAAAAAGATTCAACAAAAATATATATCAAATTTGATGTGTGAGTAATGTTTTTGAAATTTCTACTTTGCCGAAATTCAGTTTGTACTACTGTAAGGTATTCTATTTTGGGGAAATTTTCATTCTGAACAGAAAAAATTTTTGGTACAGAAAAAATCAGTTAGAGCAATTAAAAATTTTTCACCGAGTCTTTCTTGAAAACCAATATTTGAAGAGTTTAATTTGAATTTTTCTTGGAATATCAAAAGTAGGCCATTGGCCTGCATGTACATAATGTATTAAAAAGATCAAAATAAATCTCTCCCGACAATAATATCAAAATAAATCTGTCCAGACAATAATATCAAACTAAATATTCAATTTATCTAAGCCAAAATAACCTCAAAATAACACCCACTTTCACTTTACCTACATATATTAGGAATAAAGCCAAACAATCCAAATTCCGAAACACCATACAAAAATTTCTCTCAAGACAATTAGGAATTTTTAAAGTTTCTGAATTCATAACAAAATCCTAATAAGTTAATGTATTTTAATTATGTGATGTATATTTTCATCAGCTACAACTTTACTATTAGATTTCCTTTATGACACTACTTATTCTAGCTATACTAACTCGAAGACATATACTAATATCCCAAAGACATATGGTAATGAGCTAGCTTCTGAACACAGTCAATGTGACTGTACAGAATGTAAATTTTCTATAATAATTGCAATACTACCGTCTAGTGCATTGCCTTGATATTATCTATTTTGATTATTTTCTTCTACACTATTCTTTTCGAATTCTTATGACTTATGTAACAACTAAAGACTGAAGAACTTTTGTATTTGAAACTATTCACTAGTTTTTAGTATTGTTTTCTTTATAATTCAGTTATGAACTCCATAATAGGTGAGGAACTAATTCATATTTCAAGTCTCATTGTTAGTTCATATTTTTTAATTATAAGTGGTAACTATTCTTTGAAAACTATTAGAAACAACACAATATGGCTGAACACAATTTTGTTAAAAAAAAACAGTGATCGAAGATGAACAGCTTGTAAGAAATTAAAATAGACCAATAGACCTTAAAATCAGTGAGTTCACCACTTTTGTTTTAGTATTTCATGTTTTGTGCATAGTGCAGTAGATATCAAAATTCAAATAATGCCCTAAATGCCCTTAACCTGTTCGTTTTGGAATGAGGTTCCTAAAAATAACCGTGACAGTGACTGAACTGAAAAGCAGCTTCAATAAATCTATTGAAAACACTTTTCCCTCACCAAAATATTTTTTTTCTCAACACACATTTCTCTAACCTAGTTAGCCTAGTTAGAAGAGATGATGTCATCTCCTGATGATGTTAACTTGGTTAGCGAGACAAAAGTGTTTTCAATAGATTTATTTTACATCAGAGGTTCCCAATTCTACATAATATTAATCTCTAATGAAGAAGCTATTTGCGGAAAAAATGTAATATAACTTTGGTTGATAGCTTTCTGAATTGTATTTCTGTAAAACAAAACATTATTTTTCAATAACTTAGCACTAAAGTAATGTTGTCACGGAGCTAACAATTATATTAGTATACTGGAATGCAACAGGATAATCCAGAGAAGGAATTACAACAGGGATAGCTATCAACTGAAGAAATCGGCAAAATGGCTCATAAGCAAGGCCATCCTAAGTCATATTGAAACACACCTTGATGCGGCACCAACGAACAACACAATATACACAATGAAACAAATAACAAAGCGTCATCGCCCAAATGTATTCAGAACATGCAAAGTAGTATACCAATCAAGGTAAACCAGCAGACATTTTGTGAAGATGGAAAAAGTTGTCTTTATCCCACACTGTCCCAGTGATTTTTTATGCACGCGAATGCTTCAGAGCGAACTGGAGCACGCATAAATTTACCTACTGGGAAGAAAAGTAGAATCAAAACACAATGAGCCAATATCAAAACTACCCTCTCTTCATTATTTCTTAAAATTCAATCAGTAAGAAATAAAACTTATGAACTTTTGATTTTTCTTGAATCACAGAATATGCCAGATTTCGTTCTTCTCACTGAACATTGGCTAAGAATTGTAGCCAAATATTGCAGAAGTAACTCGGCACATGGTGGAACTATGATTCTAGTGAATGATAAAATACTCAATGATCTTATATTAGTGAACATTGATTAGTATGACTTTCTCTTAGTAGAAAATGAATACGAATTCTCTTTGGTGCGTGAAAAAAAGAAAAATATCTATATAATTTGCATTTATCGATCGCCTAATTCGGATGTTAAAAACTTTTTAAATAAACTTGAAATTCTTTTATCAAACCTACTAATTAACTTAAAGGTGACTTTAATATAAATTACGACGATGAAGAGTGTATGTTAAAGCAGGATCTACTAAACTTACTGACCTCTCTAAACTTGACCATGCATGTTAATGAACATACAAGAATAACCATGTATTTAGCCACTATCTGCTCAAATTTGAAAAAGAGAATATTAGAGACTGTTTGTTTCAGACCATGAAGCTCTTATCTTCGAAATGTCACTCCTAACAGTGAATGAAAGAAGTAAATATCGATACGGAAGAATATATAGCAAGGTGAACTACGAATCATTTAGAAACCTATGTAATATAACACCATGGACAAACGTTTTGAATTTTGATGATTCAATCAACATGTTTCAAAACTACCTAAGAGATATATTCAAAAAATGTTTTTCAATAAAAAAGATCAAAATCAAAAATAAAGAAAAAATAGCCAAGGTATAAAAAAATTGGCAATAAACTTGAGATCACTACATACTATTAAAAAATTCATAACTGATGAAATTTTCATATAATATTTCAATACATACACAACAATTCGTAGAAAACTAATAAAGCTTGCCAAACAACGATATTTTGAAGACAAACTATACAAGGCTAAAAATAAAGCAAAAGATAACTGGGCTATAATAAATAAATTACGTGGAAAAGGTAATATATCGCCTACTAATTCGGATATAGATCCCAACGTGTTAAACAACTTCTACTGTACGATAGCACATAAATAAAATCAGAATTACAAACGACAATCCATCTGAGTTTATGAAAAATATAAATATTCCAGATAACTTTTACCTATTTGATATAGGCATATACAAACTGAAGCAAACTATAAATGAAATAAAGAAACATTATCTGGTTATGATGAAATATCAGTTAAAATTTTAGAAAATCTCCCAGAATACGCTTTAAATATTCTTGTTGAGGCCATCAATAAATCATTTCATTCTGTCAGATTTTCTACATGTCCGTTTCATAAAGGTGGTGAAATGAATGATCCATCAAACTTCCGGCCTATATCATTGCTTCCGAAAATCTCAAAAATAATTGAAAAACTGTTTAAAAAGATAATGCTGAACTTCTTAAGTAGTTATAACATACTACGCAAATCTCTATATAGATTCCAAAGCCATAAAAACACAGGCGATGAAATCTTCCCTTTTCTGGAAGATGTATATATTGGTTTAAATAATAACGAATCTATTGGGGCAGTATTCTGTGATTTCAACTGCGTGAGCTATGATACACTATTATTTAAACTTCAGAGTTATGGCTTTAGAGGATTGTCATATAACTGGCTTTACAGTTATCTAACAGGCAGGAAGCAATTAGTAAAACTCCAAGGAAATAAATCGCATTTTGAGAATAATACATCAGGTGTACTACAAGGTTCGGTTCTGGGTCCTATCCTTTTTCTGCTTTATCTGAATGATCTGGTAACCATTGATATTAAAGGGAAGTTTACACATTTTGCGGATGACACCACCATTCTTTGGCGTGGGACAAATGAAGATAATCTCAGAGACATCATAACTCAAATCTTCTCTTTTCTGGAAGATGTATATATTGGTTTAAATAATAACGAATCTATTGGGGCAGTATTCTGTGATTTCAACTGCGTGAGCTATGAAACACTATTATTAAAACTATTATTTAAACTTCAGTGTTATGGCTTTAGAAGATTGTCATATAACTGGCTTTACAGTTATCTAACAGGCAGGAAGCAATTAGTAAAACTCCAAGGAAATAAATCGCATTTTGATCGCATTGATATTAAAGGGAAGTTTACACATTTTGCGGATGACACCACCATTCTTTGGCGTGGGACAAATGAAGATAATCTCAGAGACATCATAACTCTGGATCTCTATAGGGTTAAACAGTAGTGCGATAAACTCCTTATCAAATAAAACAAACATAGTTTGCTTCAAACTTACTTATGACTTACTTATAGAATATCACTCTATAGTAAACAAAACTCACACAAAGTTTTTAGGGGTATTTATAGATGATCAATTAAAATTTGATGAGCATATAACAAATTTATGCAAAAAAATAGCATCTGGCTGTTATGCAGTTCGAGTTGTTTCTAACGAACTCAATCAATCCTCAGCCAGAACTGTGAATTTTCTCGATAGAGTCCCACTTGAGATATAGAATTGCCTTTTGGGGATTTTGTAGTCAGCAAAATACGTAAAGCAAAATCAGTCAGAAAATTCGTACTGTACCTTGTTTGTTCCTTTTAGAAACCGTTTGCCTAATTCACAAAAAATACTCCAACTAAGCAGCAAATAATGATAGACGTTACCGCACGAGAGGAAGTCGGAATTTAGCCTTACCAATCTCAAAATCAGCAATTACAAAATTTTCTTTGATATACGAGAGCAAGAAAATATAAAACTACCTACCAATATGCTATAGGGCAATAACAAATTTTAAAAAATTCAGAAAATTAGTTAAAGGAGCACTTCTGTAAAAAGCCTACTATGGCTTAAAGGAATATTACAATGATGTATTTTGACTCTTAATATTTCAGATGCTTACATACCTGTAATGATTTATTTATTTTATATCTGTAATGATTTATATATTGTTTTATTTAAGTGTATTCGTATATGTTCATTGTATATCATAATATTAATATTTTTTAAAAACTTCAACATTGGATTTTTTGGACAATAAAGCATAAAAAATTAAAAAAACCGTTAAGAGAGCATTTCATAACTAACCTTATCACAATGCCACAAAGGTTCAGCACAATCACGAAGTTTCTGCTGAGATTTACACACACACCTTTGAACGCTCTTTTTTGGACATGGTTTACATTCCCCTGGGTGGCAAGGGTCATTGCAACTGTGTTTATCACATTTTAAAGGTTTTCCACATATCCCACTGCAAGACCATTCTTTGCTACTACATCTTTGAGTCCTTGGAGGTTCATTTCCACAGTAACAAGATACATTTACTGTAACTGGGCATGGAGGACATGGTCCTAAAATACAGATGAAAAATGATGGCAAATTTTTACAAATTATAGAAATTATTGGGGTACCTGGATGACACAACAGCATACACATATGTCCACATTTGGGTACTAATTCTTTTTTGCAAATTTCTCCACAAGAGTGAGGTACAAGAAATGGCTGGTATTTTGGGCTTTCAGTTTTCTTGCAGAAACATAAATATTTACTAGGAACATCTGAAGAGGTATATTCAAAACGACATTTTGGACAACACCAACATAGGTTTTTCTGATGGACAACTATCTGTTGTTCAAAAGCATGTTTTTGTTGGGTTATGGTATCTTTCGACCATCTTTGGATACACATAAGATGAAAAAATCCATAGCAACTGCCGCAGCTCCAGATCTTGAAAGAAATAAATTACACTGAATACATTCATTAAGTAAGAAAATCAGTTTCAAATAAATTCGGAATTATTCCATCTACCACTAGTTCAGAGACCAAACTTCTATTTATCATTTTTAATTCAATTCAGTTATCAAAATGTGTCTCAACAAGTATCACTATTCTAACAAGAAAGAATTTACTCTTGACAGTTGAAAATATCAATTTCTATTATTTTGTTAAGCAATTGCCTCACTGCGAGAAACCAACAAAATTAGACGGAAAATAGTTTGATTCAAAGAAGTTTTTTGCTTTATTACAAAATAAACAATAATCGAAGTTGGATGAGAAATTGTAAATATATTTAATTAATGGCTTTTTCATGCTTTCCTCAAGAATTAACTTCTCAATCACCCCGTATAAACCCAAACAACCTTATATTTTTGAGAAGCACCTTGCCCAAGAAATTCAATCGAGTGAAAATATCTGGAGTATTCGACTCGAAAAAACATAAGTTTGGTCTGTCACATATTTATTGTACACCCTGTATATTCTTCAAAAATAGCCCTCATCAATTCTTGAATAGAACTGGCCGATACTTGATGAAAAACTGTTAAAAAAAACTAATCAATACAGTTTATTGTATGATTTTCACTATAAAAGGGTTTTACAAAAACCGCGACACGTGTTTAGTTAGTTTAGTTAGTTAGTTTTTTTTTCTCATTAATTCTGATATGTAGTTTCTCTGCATAAAGTTATCTATTTGATGAACCTGCAAATTAGACAAAATATCAACACCTACATTTTTTTTCACATAATTCGCAAATTTTAACAACACTTTCAGAGGGATAAAAATTACCTTTGTCCTTAACCCATAATAAAGCATAAATACAGTCGGTTCCATTAGGAAACAAGGTCTCAATGCACTGATGACAAAGTAAAAGTGTTAAGAGAGTTAGTTTCTACTACAAATCTAGCTAAATATATAATAACTTGCTTGTCAACTTCAGACAAACTGGGGTGAACTATTCTGTAACTTTTCATGGTTTCGAACGTAAACACATGAATATTTTATTAACCGATTGGTCACACCGAAAAAAGCTATATTTTTGTTTGCACTAGTATTAAAACACACTAAAACAGGTCACTGAACCATTTTGATTCAGAAAACTGAACTTTAATTGCCTTTCAAAAGAAGTGAACGGATACTGAGTCACGACTAATACGCTTCGAATTATTTTACCATGATTTTACCATACTTCAGTCGCAACTCGGCGCGGCGATTTGGGTGCTCATTCCCTTGGTTCCTATTTCTATGGCCACCCTTCATTTTCTGAACCGATTTCAGATATATGACCGTACACTTTCGGGGATATGATTCCTATAATGAGCATATCCAAATATTTCGGTCCTATAATTTTCGAACTTCAGTTTTAGTTTATGCTTTTTAGTTAATCGAAATTCATTCCATGATTCAACTAGATACTTTTTTTGAAATCATAGAAGAAGAAGAACATATTTATTGAAATAGGTAATCCTAATACACAATATTATATGAAACATATTACTAACATAGAAAATGAAAATAATTATAAAAAAAGTTAAAATGTAGATATAGTTCAAAATTGAAAATAAAAATTTTTAGTTTGAAAAATAACGACATATGCTATTAAAAATACATTGCAATATAGGTGCAGCTCCAATACAATGATAAAAAGCAGAAAACAAGCATGAACATTGCTAGTGCAACCTGTTGAATGATCAAAGTACCTCTATTAGTATCTACAGGGGTGGTATATAAGGGCGAATGTAATGAACCATTGTTAGGTTATTGTATAATTATGAAAATGTCCATATATGACGAAACTGCAGTAACGTTAGTTATAAATAAAAGTGGTAAAAAACATAGAAAGTTTCATTTCTCTTTTCTTCATTATGATTTCCTACCACGTGGTAACGGCTACATCCATCAATTGATTGCCATATGAATTTCGTAGAGATATCAACCACTAAATTATGTCCAACATGAATCATTGATGTACATCTATCATAACAGTTGGAAAGGTTACCATTATTCATTTTTCAACACTTCATCAAAAATCAAGATCTGTTATAAACCTGGACCACAAGTAATATAGAAAATTTGGTAGGTCTAAGTATAGTTGGTTACAATTATGTTTTATTTTTTCCCAAGTGATCCACACAGTCTGTCTCTCTCTCTCTCGAAACTTATTTGGTTGCAAAAGTTTAAGGTTATATTTACAACAGTTTTAATCTTCCTCTTTGAAGATGATCACTTGGTGATCGAAACACGTGTCGAAGTGTTAAAAATAACGATTTTGTGTTGGGAAAAAACTCCAGTAATATTCATATTTACAATGAATAAAGAAAAACAAAGTGTGTCAAAGGTTAACAAAGTACTATGGTGAGTCTACTATGAGTAAAATAAGAGTTTGTGAGTGTTTAGCGTTTTTAAGATGGCCCAGGTGACTTTGAAAATGTCAAAAACGCCGGATGTCTCAGCTCATCAACAGCCGATAAAAATGTGGAAAAAGCTAAAGAAATGGTAATGACGATTGCTGAATCACAATACTAGAAGTCGCCGATGATTTGCATGAAGCAATACAAAAAAAGACCAGGATTATGGAAAAACACCTGCTCAAACCTCATTGCTTGTTCAATGTAGACAAATAAATAAATTGTTGTTTTTCAAAAACATTAAATTTCCATTATTTTCTGATCACAGCTTGTATATACAGGATCACTTCGACTGAATTAAATTATCTGAATTAGATTAACTATGATTATAGTCGATTTTTTCTGAATGTTCCATAACATAACAAGCATTTGGGGAAAGTTATTCAAATTCAAAATCGAATAAATTTGAAAAAACTACATAAGAGTTCCCTATTGGATGATACAAATATGGCAACTATGTTATAATGAAGAACCAAAATAAATAGCATCACTAAAAGAAACACTTAATAGTTTTGTGAATCCAAATATAACAAAGCATAAAATTATAGGAAAATGTTGAAACATCATATAATGGAATGAAAATATATGAAACTAATAAACCAATATCATATAAGTGAATCTTAGTGAAATAGTGGAGCCTTGAAATTGATTTTCAATAGACAAGCGACACCTTATTTTCCTACCACCTTTGTATTTCGTATATGGTTTCTCAACAAAATTTCTAAATCATATAAAAAGAGTACCATTGGTTTGAATGTTCTGTTTCTCTCCGCTAACTTATATAGACAGAGAACAGTTTTCACATTTGTATCAGAAATATTGGAAGGCAAGTAGGCAGGTCGGTAGCCGGACGGTTCGACGTGGGTGCTTTGTTCATTCTCTCAATCGACCTATGTGTTAGTCGGTGGTTCAAGCCGCAGGCTGAACAATCGATTTTCACTTGCTATCGTCCAACCCGGGTTGGGAATCACACGTTAAAAGGTAAAACTTCGTTAGTCTTTAACTCGATCAAGTTTCGACTTCTGAGGGTTGTCGTTCATAGGGGTGCGACAGCTGGTTAACGTAAAAAACATATTTTAACATTTTTAAAAAAAATTTCCTTGAAAGTATTAAAACATCTTAATTCGGTTGATTATCTTCAAAGCCTTATGTGGAGCAGGGGCATTTGCTATCCATAGAGTCATACAACATTCCATTGAAAATTTATAGAAGTTGGTTATACATGAAAACTTCTCTTCTCTTTCTGAAGAATTTTCGAAAATATGGTAATTGCCTCTCAAGAATTAGTTCAATAGGAAACTAGAATGCAAGAACCCCAAACACTTCCTATTAAATCAACGCTCCCAAGATATTATTCAAGGTTGTCTCATGTTTACCACTATGAAAGGTGGCGTAGAATAAATTCAAAACAAGCACTTTTCCCAAACACCAGAACTGCAATACTTTTCCCGACGCATGTTTGACCAACCAAGTTGGAGATGAAGAAGGGAGAAGTGCTTTTTGGATGTTTACGGCAATACAATATTACAAGAAGGAAAAAAACGGCAAATTACAGTATTTTGCAAATTCAAATATTTTTGATACGAAATCTGTTTAAAATCTGTTTTTTCGTTAATCAGCTGTCGCCCCCATACGAACGACAACTCTCAGAAGTTGAGAAACTTGTGCGAGCTAAGGACTAACGAGATCTTACCTTTTAACGTGTGATTCCTAACACGGTTGCAGAATCATCCCAGCTTCAATCAGATAAATTCTCTCGAGAAAAATATCTGGTCGAGGCAAGAATCGAACCCATGGTCTCCCGATCGTGAGTCGGGCGCACTACCACCGCGGCCAATTCCACAACATTGAAATATTTGAAATTTCCAGTAATAAGTAAATTTTTCTTTACTTTTTAGTATTAGGAACGTTATTCTATGATTTTTAACAAATTGTCACAATCCCCGACTATTCCAGTATTTCCAGATCGCTGGCTACCTTACTATAACAATTTTTTAATGATGTGTTTGTTGGTATTTGTAGTGATATGTGGTCACCCTACCTTGTATGAGACTTGAATTTGAAAATCTCAGCCTTTTGCACAATAAACAAGCGTTTTTAAAATACATCTCATAAATATATCCAATGGATCCTTTATTGTGAAAATATGACAAAACTTTCCCCATAACAGAATTAAAGCACTGACACTGTTCTAGTGCGAGAAAAGTGTTTTCATTAGATTCTAAGCATTTATGTAACACTTTACTGTGAGATATTCACTTATAAGTTTACAAAACAGCCATAATGTTATAAAATAGCTTCTTCAGACATGTTCAATACAAATTTATATATTGTATTTGATATTATTTATTATCATCAAGTATCGGCCGAGTATCAGTAGATTCATTTCACGCTAGAGGTCCAATTTTACCCATCGAATCTGTCAATATGAATTCGACAACTCTTGATGCAAACTCAATTCCCTCAAAATTATTTTTATGGCAGAATATTCCAAAAACAGTCTCTGGCATAAGTTTGTTATCCGGGTATCAAACAAGAGACAATCATGAGCCTAAAAATTGAGATGCTGACCCAGAACTGATTAAAAGATTATAAAAAAAAAGGTCTGAATTGAACACTCAAGAGCTTTAAGAATCATCAGAGGAACTTGGCTTATGCATCAATTTACTTTCTGAAAAAAGTGTCTGAATCTCACAACTGTAACTATACATTATTCCTTATTTTGAATTTTCTCATGTGGAATCAAGATCGATTTTTAACTTAATTTATCTCATCTATTCACTGCCAGCCTCTAAAACAAATTGCAATCCATATCCATTAATAAAGAAAGAAATGAATGATCCAATTAGTTACATCAGAAAAGAAGAAGGTTTGGCCTGTAAATCAGACACAAGTTGAAATTACCTCATCATCTCTTCTGACCCTCGATATACAAATCAGGCAAGTTGTTCCAGCAGAGAGTAAAGTCTCTTCGATGAACGATGAAGTTCGACCAATAAATTCATAGTCACCACCAGTATTTTTGTAACTCTTGAGGATAGTATCTGAACAAAAATTGAGATTGTTTTGAAAGAATCAGAAAATGATAATGAATACATACCAATTAGGTTACCGGAATCTAATTCCTCTTCATCTGAAGATGACTCGTATTCTTTCACATGCTTTTTAACAGCAGCCTGCAACTTAGATTGAGCCTCTTTAAATTTCAGCTCTGAGGAAGTTAAAGGTTTGCTGATGGAGTTTTTGGAAGCTTTCACATTTCGTTTTTGTTGGACATTTTTTGTCCATGGATTGCGAGGTTTAGGCTGACTATGCATTTTTCAAAAAAATATTTGTTCTTTCATGAAATGAAAAACCCGTTATTGGAGTAATCATAACAGTATAATCATTTATGCAATTGAGTTACACATATTCAAATCATAATATCGAACACAGTGACGTGTTTAATTTTTGACAATCTTTTGCAGTGTTGCCAGATGATATTTTCGGAATTCTCTGGACAATTTGATAAAAAAATCTTTAGATTTCTTTAAAATCCAAAAGTATTCAACTACGCTCCTTTTAGAACTAGACTATATGACATTAACGTGATTAGGTATTTTTAGGGGATGCTTACGAAATGTCAATTATTTCTGACCGTAATCTCACTAATTATTATAAGTATTTTCATTATATAAAACTGTATACTATGTATTTTATTAACAATGCGGATATTTTTCGATGAACGAGCCTCTTTTAATATCAATCATTTCATTTACATAAAAACTGGAATTCGTTTGCAAGCACTTTCAGATTTAAACTGAAATAGAAATGAAACATCAGCATCAATCAAACTGTCACAATACAAGGAGTATTGTAATGTGGAGTTTAGAGATCTGTCCTTAGATGTATAGAAATTCTCTGGTGTGATCACTTGGACGCTTTCCCATCTGAAATATTTTTTCAAAAATTGTCGTTGTTGATGAAGGGATAATAAGGAGATTCAATGAATTTCAGCGTTCCACATACGAAATCGCTGAGTACAACTTAAGATTAGATATATAAGGTTCGTCTGGGATCAGAGATATGTCATTCAATGTGTAAGAGAGAGATCCGATTATGGCGTCTTGGAAATCAATGTCATGTTTGAGGTCGCAATTTATTAACATAATTTCTAATTTTGTTGCATTTTCGAGGTTTCGATTGGAATAATCATCGTATGAGACCTTCGAGGTCGCACTTTGTTTACATAATTGCTGTTTCAAAGATGCGAGTTTTACATAATTGCTGGTTATCTAACCACTGCCCTCAATCATCCAGTTCTTTCCACCCTTAGCTATAGGGATGACGTAGGTACGTGAAGTGTTGCAAAAAAAGGCTCAAATGTACCACCGAGAACAATGGAATGACGTAAGTTATTGTGCATCACTGTTATTTCTTGTAGATCATCAATGACCAGAAGAGTGTGGTCGTCGACAACGAAGACAGAGAATTTCCAAAAAGTCCTTAATGAACGGTGACAGAGAGAGAGAGAGAGAGAGAGAGAGAGAGAGAGAGAAGACAATGGAATGACGTAACTTCTTGAGCAATCCTGTTGGTGTATATTAGAAGGAGTGGCCGAAGAAGTGGCAAATGGGCCTAGATAACCCCTTTGGGGTGAAGAATAGAGAGGGTGTTTTTTGCTAAAAAGGCACACGTGTTTAGATAGAGGCCAGTCTAGCCTAGAGGCCAGTCTAGCCTTGCCCACATGTTATTCGTTGTGAAGTATTTGGTAGTAGTAGACGGAGCTGATCCGTTTCAAAGAGTAGAAATATATCCCAAAAATGCAATATACCAGGTAGTCTCCAACATGATCGTTGATTCAGAAGAAACAATGACGGCCACCACCGTAGATCGCGTTTCGCTAACCATCTACAGAGTGTCTTGAAATACATCGTTTATACAGGGTGTCTTGTCTATGAAAAAAATTGTACGGTAACGGGAGACTGACGCCTCAAGCTGCTAAATCGAAGTCGATCAATACCTGTTCGAGTCCTGTTCAAGACCTACTCGAGACCTGTTCAAGACCTGATGGAGACCTGTTTGAGACCTGATCGAGACGTATACAGACGTATACAAATGTACGTCGTTGGCCGTTCGTCAGTAAGAGAGGTAAAAAACAATGGCTGGCATTTTTTAAAATTAGTGTTGACACACCGTGTTAGAAATCACACGTTAGAAGGTAAGATCTCGTGAATCCTTAGCTCGCACAAGTTTCTCAACTTCTGAGACTTGTCGTTCGTTTGGGGGCGATAGCTGATTAACGGAAAAACAGATTTTGAACAGATTTTAAACACCAATGACGGCGTATACCCCACGATGACTGTGTTATTTTTAACAAAACGAGAAGCGCCGCTTTTCCGCTTTTCTAAACTAATTCTATTAGTAAGGCAATTTCGTACGGACAGCTCCTCGAAGATTTGGGCAGACGAGAGCGAGAACTATCCAAAGATATCAAATTTTATGAAGACAAAGGAAACGTTGTTAGAGAATTCAAAAATTTGAGCATTTGGATCTCAGAAACACGCAAGCTACCTCAAACAACAACATATCCGTTGCAGCAAATTCATCCTCAACAAAATGGTTCTTCTGCATGGAATTTTTCTACTGCTTTCATTGATTCTTAATGAAAATATGTTTTATATGTTTATTCTATATTTGAATAAAACACTGAAATATTCACGAATTTCATTTAATAAAATAAATAATTCGCTATCAAATGATTGTTTGCTAATCAATTGACCGCAATAGGATGAAAGGTCAAATTGATAAACAGAAACGGTTTGTGCTCATCGGGAAAAATGTTTTATATGAACGGCATACAGGAAGTGGAACTAGATATTCATTAAAAATATCAACAGCGAGCCTCAGTTTCATTACATCAATATGTGCAGTCAATTGTGCCCTTAGTACTTTGTGTGTATCTATTTATAGTTTGTGCGTATATTTAAGTATCAAAAATGTGAGTATTCTCTTTGCTTTTTCATCTCACAAGTTTATATTTCAACTTCTAAAACAAATTTCAATATTCCATACCGAGTTTTCCAAGAATTACCTACCTCAAATGTAATATTAGTTTGAACGTTTATAAATTCAACGTGTTTATTCACGAAATATAATATAGCTGACTAAGAAATTTCTTAATTTTTTCTTCCAATACTCTAAACTCATTTTCTATCTTAGAAAAAAGGCTCATTTAGACTGCTACAAAATGAAATTCCCAAAATTGAAAAAAAATGTCCTTGCTAAAAATTAATTGCACACTTTCTGGTGATTTTTTGAAAAAATCAAACGAATCTGAGATAGTTGACCGCAAGTATTTCAGTACATCTAATACCATCGTGGATGCAGGAACGGATTTAGAGAAGTGGTTCAAAATGAATGTTGTTGATTCAATTATGAATAAATTAAGCGAATTTCAGGAAAAAGACAGGGGATGGGCTTTGAGTAACATTATTCCATTAGAGATAGCGATAAATAAATATAAGGTGGGAAACGGCTCTTCATCCATCAGGTTACCTGAACAAATTCTGAAAAGACGGACCTGCATTAATGTTTCAAACAATGACGAAATGTGCTCTTTTCCCAGCAAAAGAAAACGTAACACGAACTTCCTCATATCCTCATTCACAAGATCTTGACGTACTCATGCCTTTACACGAAATTTCCAAATTTGAAAAGTTGAATAATGTTTCCATCACTGTTTATGCTTTGGAATTGAACAATTGTGGCACCTTCACGATTAACCAAACATAAACTGAACCGTCATGTAAATTTGCTTCTGATTCAAAACATCTATTTGCCAAAATTGAACGATTATGGAGCTCCACCTGTAGATGATGAAGATGTTAATATAAAATACCATAACTGTTGAATAAAGGACATGTCTAGGTTATTGCCTTGTCAATTGAATAGGAATCATAATAAGAAATGGTTCTGTGACAGGTGTCTGAATTATTTTTCAAGTCAGCAGAAATTGGAAGAACAGCGTCATTTGTGCCAACATTAACGATTGCAAAACTACATTTCCATCATATGACTTTGCTGAATTCCTTAATCATGTATATAAACCGAAATGCCCTTTTATAGTTTACGCAGATTTTGAGTCGCTACTGGAAAAATGTAACGTTCAAATTTCGAATACTACATCAAAATACCAACGACATAAGGTCTATAGTGCAGGGTACTACCTAAAATGTTCCTATGATGACAACCTTTCTCGCTTCAATAGCTATTGAGACCTAGATTGCATGAACTGGTTCGTTGGTGAAATGAATAAAATTGCAAGATTTGTTTCATCTAAAATTGAAAATATCATACCCATAATAGTGTCTCCAAATACTATTGGTGCAAGTACATGTTTAATTTGTGAGAAACCCTTTACCAAAAAAGACGTTATCGTACACGATCACTGCCACTTCACAGGTCAGTTTGGGGGATTCGCCCATCAAGCTCCATGTAATTTGACCTTCAAAAAACAATTTTTAGTTCCCATCACATTCCATAACTTGTCAGGCTACGATAGTTAGCCTGGAAGTTGAAAAACTTGAAATCTTGAAAAAAGAATTCGGCTATTTGGAAGGAGATAAATTCATGTTGCTCATTAAAAAGGGTGTATTTCCCTATGATTATATTGAAAATTTAGACAGACTAGAAGAAACTGAACTACCGACCAAGAAAAATTTCCACAATAAATTGAATGATACCAACATTTCGGACCATGACTATACTCACGCTGAAAACGTTTGGCGAAAATTCGACATTAAAACGCTTGGAGAATATAGCGACTTGTATATGAAAACCAATATTCTACTGCTTGCAGACGTTTTCGAGAATTTTCGAGAACTATCCACACAAACATATTCTCTAGATCCTTCGTGGTATTTTACGTTGCCGGGCTATACGAGGGATTGTATGCTCAAAATACCGGTTGCAAATTACGCGTCTTAAGAATGTAGATATTCTAATGTTTGTAGAAAACGCTATAAGGGGAAGGAATATCGGTATGCTCCAATAGATACAGTGAAGCTAACAATAAATATATGGCAAATTATGAACCTACGAAACCGTCTAAATACCAACTTTATTTAGACGTAAATAACTTGTATGGGAAAGCCATGTGCGAGCTCCTACCGTATGACGACTTTACTTGGGTGGTCGACATCAACATTGACGTGACACAAATACCTGACTACAATCCTGACGGGTATATACCGACACAATACACGACCTACATAAAGACTTTCCGTTTTACTCAGAACACCGCGTCCCACCCAACTCAAAATTACCAAAATTGATGACGACATTACAAAAAAAAAAGAAACTTATACACTACATTACCGGAATTTGAAACAGGCTCTAGAACACGGACTTAGATTAGCAAAAATACATAAAGTGTTCAAATTCAAACAATCGGCTTGGCTGCGACCCTATATCGAGTT